TTGGCCTCTGTTGACGGCTATGAAACTGAGCTTCATACAATTTGGCCTTGCCCTCAGGGCCGAATCTTTTATCCAGTACACTCACTAATTGCTCATAAGTATAGCCAGATTGCAACTCATTCAAAACTTGCAAGGCTTGCCCTTTCAAGCTGGATGCTAGAAAATCATTTTTATCATTTATGCTCCAGTTATTGGAGCGAGCACACACTTCAAAATGCCTTTTATAGTCTTGCCATGGACTTGTGCCATCATACTTATCTGGTTTAATTTTCAGTGATTTGTTACTGGATCGGTTATCATTTCTCAATGATCCAATTACTTCTCTTACCACCTGTAATGCAGGGGACATATCGACCTCATGTGATGAGGGAGAAACACCTGTCACATGTTCTGGTGACCAATTAGTCTGCTGTGAGTGTGAAATGTTTTCTCTGGGTGGAGAACTATACAACAGATCTTGTTTAGATATATGCTTCGACATATCAGACTGACGTGCAGTCATATCTCTTGTGGGAGAGCTACTGTATAAATTCCTCTTCCTCCCACTATACTGAGGAGCACTGGGAGGATTTGAATCTTCCCTGCTCACTGGGAGGAATTTGTTTGGAACCTGGTTTATTCTATCAGGATTTATGTCTCCTTTGTTCAATTCTATATCTGACACATTGTGAGTCATTTCAAAAGTATTTGGCACCTTCATTTCAGGTATCTGGCTAGCCTCTCCCTTCAACCCTGAAACAAAGCCAGGAAAAGAGGGTAGGTCACCTTTCATGTCTGATGGACTATGATAAATTGCTCTCTGTCTTTTGAGAGCATATGGCTTCTTATGAGGAGGACTTTGTGATCCATCCACTAATGGAGCCATCGCCTCTCTCTCAAAACATACGTCTCCTCTACTAACATCATGAGGAGTTCTGAACTTGACTTTCTCAAGTTCTTTTAAGGGGGAGCGATTTTCATTAATCAGCTCCTGTGTTTCAAATTTCTGTCGAGACATTTCTTGGTCGATCTTACCTTTGTGATCAGACAAACTCTGGTCTATTTGAGACACCAAACGATTCTGCATCTGGTCCATGATAGGAACCAGAGAGGACACGGCCTGTGTCACTTCAGATTTCATTGAATTCATATCTGATTTCATGGAGCCCATGTTAGATTTCATAACATCCACTGTATTGCCAATTAAGTCAATGTTGCTCCACAGATGACTAATTTGGTCACTCATGGCACTGATTTTGTCAGTCTCTGAGGTTGGCCCAACAGTGGAAGAGCGAGGAGCATGTTCAAAGCCCTCTTTTTGTTGTGAACCTTGCAGAAAACTCAAATCAGTTCCAGACACATGAGACCAATATCCAGTGGATTTTGTTTGCATTTCCTGGTTAGAATCAGTCCTTTTAGGAATTGCTCCAACCCCATTATTAGATCTAGTTGGATTTCCTCCAGACCAGACAACTGTTTCATTCAGAGACATGGGGTTGCTCATAGCATTTTCCCCTTTGAAAAATACAGTGTTTTCTGGGCTCAACTGAGCACTTTCACCACACTGTGTCAGATCCATTGCATTATCCGAGTCATTAGCTGACTCCATGGTGTAAATTTCATACACAGATCTGATATATCAATAAACACACAAAATGAGCAATTAAGTTACCTAAGATGAGGATTTATACTACCTTGCTCTTTGTGCTCTACTGCAAATTCTGGAGCAAAAAGTCACTTTTGCCTACGAATTATGCTACCTTGGTCAAACCAATTAAGACACGTTTGCAAAAGATTTATAGTACAATGCTCTCTTACACTTAAACAAATTCAGGAGCCATAAGTCACTCTAGCTAACGATTTATGCTACCTTGGAAGAACCAATTAAGACACGCTGCCAAAGAATTACACTTCAATGCTCTCTTAAACTGTGACGATTCAACAGTTCACAATTCCGGTATAAATCTCAGTACAACTAACAACTGCTCTTTAGCCAGCTCCTCTTAAAGAACAATACAAATCAAACAGAGCGATCCGGCCAACAACTTTGCAACAGTGTTATATCTGCCTCACTCTTAAAAACGTGTACCTGCACCTGCACGGAATAACGTTTATTTCAATGTGTTCTTTCTCAATGTTCAACTGGAGTGGCTCCGGAGCAGGAGTATCACATAAATCAATACAGATTTCACTGGGAACTTCTTTAAGAAGTCTGTTCACAGCGCATAAAACATGAGGACTACCCTCGGTTCATAAAACATACAGATTGAGGACTACCCTCGGTTCAAAGAGCAAATCATGAGGAATACCCTCGGCTCATAAAGCATACACAAAATGGAGGACTACCCTCGGTTCTCGGTTCACACAATAAAGTCTGAGGACTACCCTCGGTTCATAAATTCACTTATACAGCAACTAAATAGGACACTTCAATTAGTGGCTCATATTAAGTCACATGTACTTATTCAATGGAGCACTTCTTTCCAAAATGAGCAATTAAGTCCCTATTGCAAATGAATTACACTACCTTGGCTGTACCAATTAAGTAACATAGCAATAGCCTTACACTACCTTGGCTCTTTGGAATAAACTCTCTGCTCCTCACAAGTGAGTCTAGTGATGAACGCTTACAGATAAAAAAAAATCAAGACATGCAAGCCTTTAACACCGCGAGATCAATTAACAAAACAATATCCCCGTCGCTGCCACCAATGTGACGGAACGTGGCGTCTGGGCCGAGCGGAAACCCGAGTGTCACTTTAAAACTCTCACGTGGTATGAGAGCCGGCGGGGAACGTCTGTTGGTGAAAGGATTTTGTTGTGTTGATTTTTATTATCGTTCTGCCACTGATATTATACAAGTAGAATAACAAAGAATGACAAGGGAAATATAATTACTTTGATAAATGTAAAATGATCAATTTAAATTGGAGGAATATGTGAATGAAGAATGATGATAATGAATGGTTTGGCCAATATTTAAATTCTACAACATAGCTCCCTGAAACAATTAGAGCGCACTTTGATGGCTAGAAGAGCAAAATGTAATGAATACTGAATACGGTAGGCTCCTAGCGACTTGAGCTCCAGAGCAAAATACTATATTCAAACTAATGGCTCCACAAATCTCAATACACAAAATGAGAAAGCAACAGGCTCCGGAGCAAAATGTAGTGCTCAAATAAATGCCTCAGTCAGGCTCCAAACACAATTAGAGCCATTTACCAGCTCCGGAGCAAAATGTAATGCTCTCAATGAATCGATAAATCAATGAGCCTTAAAGCAAAGCAGGCTCCAGATCAAAATGCAAGGCTCCGAATTAATAATCAATCAAGCAGGAGCTCTCAATGGGCTCCGGAGCAAAGCACAATGCTCCAAATCAATAGTTAAACAGCAAAACAGGAGCTTTGAGAGCAATTAAGTACCTATTGCATATGAATTACTACTACCTTGGTTATACCAATTAAGTCACATAGCAATAGTCTTACACTACCTTGCCTCTTTGGAATAAATTCCTGCTCCACACAAGTGAAATTGGCTCCGGAGCAAAACGCAAGGAGCAGTTTTGGTAGGAGCAATTTGTTACAGATATGGCCAATCTTTAGACAAAAAAATATGAATGTTGTAAATTGTCGCAAATATGAATGTAATGAGATTGGAATAATTAACAGTAGCACTGGGAATTAAGGATAAAAATAATGAATATGCGAAATGTTTAAATTGATGGAAATACTGGGATAAAGAATTGGTAATAGCGAATGCTAATAAATGGAATATTGGAAATAATGGACTGTGAATTGATTGAATGAAGGAAAGATGTAAAATTGAATTTATTTCCCTTATCACTCTTGAATTGCAATGGAAATAAAGCAGTAAATGTGGACTAGATTGACTCACTTTAGCTTCACTTGTTTATATCAAAACAGACACAGTGAATTTAAATGAACACATAACAAGACTTTATTGTAATAATTACCTTATATCAGAATACATAGTCACAAGCAGCGTTGAGCGACTTTCAGGCTAACAACGTATCTCCGTGTAAACGCAAGATATATCCAGTTATGTTCAATATAAATCCACAATAATACGATCACCAGTAGCACAAATATCCAGCGTAATTTAATACAGCAATATAAATCCAAAATCTGTTATAAATCCAATGATACAATTCTGTTATAAATCCAAAATGTAATCGCAGGTTCTTACTCTTCAGCATTCAAAACTAGACTGAACGTTCCCCGAACGATCATGAGAAAGTTTATATTTTTGATAATCTATTTCCATATAAGGAAGTGCAACTATGACAACAGGTCTGTTAGCTTGCTACAATGTCAAAATAGCTGTCACATCAAAGACTAATAAACCTAGCGCTAGCCTGTCAATCAAATTACTATGTGGGAAAGTTTGAAAAAGTGTCGGCAAAACGCCGTCAGAAATATAAAACTTCACTGAAAATCACTCTTTTTAAATTACAATATCTCCTAAAGTATGAGATCAAATTCAAAGTTTAATACACCGTTTAAAAGCTCAATTCACCCTTAATTTAAGAAATAATTATTATAATTTACAGACAAATATTCTTCCCTATATTTAATGAGAAAGAACATGAGTAAATAAGAACTGAAATCATGTGTGCCAGGCGGCCGTGAATTAAATAAAATCACACGTTTACACTAGTTATTTAAACATGTCTTACTCAAAAACTATTATTCCTTTTTGCATGAAATAAAAATGAATAAATCGTTAAAAGAATGTTCTTTTTAACCATATATAAAACATAATTTGATCTTGATCAGAAAAGCATGAAAATAAAACTTACAAATAAATAAGAAAAATGCGCTCCCGCTACAATATTGTTATGGTCTTCAACTTTTTTGTGATGGTGGTTGGCGTCTGGCATTCAGCCTCTGTAACAAATGGCAGGTGGTGACACTGCATGTTCAAATGCCTTGTTTTGAATACTGAGTATAGAATCAATATGATTTTACATTTATGATTTGACGTTTTTGTTATTTCAGAATTCCCTGGGTGGTGATTCTGTCACTCTTTTGCTCCCAGTTATATCACCAGCAGATGTCGCATACCAAGCCACGATAGAAACACTGAAATATGCCCAGTTTGCCAAAGTTATCAAGAATGAGGTAAAACTCCCAATAAAAATTCAAATAAAAGGCTCAAAATCAAACCAATGTGACATTTTTGCTTGTTACTGAGCAAAAATCATTGAAATTAAACTTAGTGCAACATTTAACATGAATGACTTTTATTATTAAATTTTGATCTCAATAAACATGAACATTAGAGGAAGAAAAACTTCAATCATATGCAAAAATATTATTATTTAAATCAGCTCTAATAAGAGAATAAAGAAAATATTTTAATTTCCTAAGTTGTTCATTTCCTACATAGAATTAATATCGTTTATCTGTGTTTTTCTATTTCCTACATAGAATTAATATCGTTTATCTGTGTTTTTCATTTTTACGCTAGCATGGGTTCCCAAGGCTCTTGAAAGCCCAAGGTGCTAGTTGCCAACTAGTAACAAGAAATGATATTTGATAACAGTAATGCCATCAAAAAGTATATTTTCGTTTGTTTGTTTTCTTGTTTTCAAGGTGAAATGTAATGTTGATGAGACCAATCAGATCATTACAGAACTAAGGTCAGAGATTGCAAGACTGCGCAACAAAATGTCCTCCAGTAACCAAAGCAACAAGGATGATGTTTTACAAATGGAGGTACCCAAAAAGACACATTTCAAATTAATAAGAATCAATATTGTATGTTCCTACCAGTTAATAATGATCGGGGACTAACATTTTCTTTTGTTTCAATTCAGAGTCACTTTAGATGTTTTTTGAACAAGGCTTCTTGAATGAGTAATTGTGCAAGATCGTCCATTCTTGATGAGCTTTGTTAATTTTTCTTTATCGAAGTAAAGACATTATCAAACCAATATCTTGATACCTAAAAGACGGTTGTATCTTGGTTAATCATATGAGAAAGATTAAGCATGCAGCTGTGCAGGTATACCTTTATCCTATGAAATCCTTTTACACTGTTTTACAATATACAATACTTGTACTTATAAAACTTTTGTTTTCTTACCATTGGACCATAGACATCAGACCAATTTAAAACCTAATACCAAAGGGATCCCTTAAGTTCCCCTTTTCAGTTGAACCTTTCATAATTTTACTTTTATAGGACCTGATACGAGATCTCCAGATTGCGAAAAGACAAACTTGGGAAGAGAAGGAACGTCTTTCAGAACAATACGAACAAGAGAGAAAGATAAACCTTGCAAATAAGGTAATTTATTTTACACATTTAATGACTGTCCAATTTTGGCCTACCCTGTGTATATGGTACTGATTTGTATAAGAGATAGCAGATCAAAACTAAGCAATGGTTGCCATAGTTTCCAATCCAAACTAGGTTTATTGATGCTTGAGGTTACGGTTCAATGATATCTATATATGCTACATATATAGGGGACTGGATTCGCAGATAGATTTCAATCTGGCCCAGAAATTATTTTCAGCATATATACTTTTGGAACACCATGTTTATGAAAATAAAAAACATAGTTACTTTAAGTAACTTATATGGTCCATGATTCAGTTTTGTTCAGAAATGCACACTGGCAATAGAAGATAGTTTTCCAATATCTTGTATTTCTGTATTTGTAGGGTATCCTTGAATGGGTGATGGACACCATGAAGAAAGGTAACAAAGAAATCCAGGAGAGAATGCTACTGCTGCAGAAAGAAAAAGATCAGGTTAGTCTGTTATAACAGCTAGTAGATAGACAATCATCTGTCATTTGAAGAATGTAGCTGAATTTGGTAGAATCAGGCAACTCAAGGTATAATAAGGACATACATGGGTAATATATACTGTATTTCCTTGGTGAAGGGAATCTCGATGAAGGAAGAAAAAACGCAGTAACACAAATCACGGCAGCTATGAAAATTAAATTAGAAAAAGTAAAAAATGTTAATCATGTTTTTATATTTTGCGGTTATTTATTCCTCTTCCAGTTGACCATAGAGTACAAAGAGAAGCGAAAATCAGTAGATGAGATGAAGGATGATTTACAGAAAAGAATTGCAGATTATTCCAAACTGGCAGAATCAGGTGAGTAAACAGGCTGTACATTAAAGTGCCCAATCTTAGGAAAACACATCCTCCGAAAACACAGGCCTCCAAAACTCGTACCTCCTTCTTCCAGAAGAAGGAAGGAACTTAGTGGATGATGTCTGGAACCCTGCATTCAAAGAATGGGGAAAAGAGGGTTTTGGTAGTTTGGGACATAGCACACACATGACTTTTGGCAGTTTGGCATGTATACAGAGTGTCCGTAAAGTCTCTCTACACTACTTTACACGGACTTTGTATTGTAATTGTTAAGAAACCTTTTGGACACCTTTTACTTTTTACTTGCAATTCTCATCCTAAATAACCTAAAATACTTTAAATTTATAATGATGTATAACTCTAATTGATATCGTAGGAAAGGCAAGTGATTCTGAAACAAAAACCCGAGTTAGCGCCATTCATGAGTTGAAAGAGAGGCTGAAACGTGAAAGTGAGGCTGTGAAAGATGTCAAAAGGAGGCTGAAGGATGTTCAAGAAAAACAAAAAGCAGAAAAAGATGTAAGAAGTAACTTTACTTTTGCGTTATAGGCAACTTAGGTCCCAACAATTTTTATCTGTTCCCAAATACAAAAAGGGTCAAGACAAGATGAAATATTAAGTCAGTTTCAAAATAAGTTCATGTATATCGAATATAAGTGAATAAATGTGTTTCTAGGATGCCAGATCTCAGACCACTGCCTTAAAAGGCAATGCAGAACTACGCTACATGGTGGAAGCGGAGGAACGGAAGAAAACAGAACATGAAAATAAACTGATGGTTGCCGAGGAGATGGAGCGGATGAAGATGGAACTGGAACATGAGAAAGCTGAGATACAAGTATATTACTTCAGACCAATCAAAACTTGTTCCTTCTGTCCACTCATTTGTTAAATTACTATAGCCTGCCTTTACGTCAATTTCAAAACTTATAAATGTTGGTCTAATATAGAGTATTTACATAATTTGAACATATCTTAAAATACTTGACATATTATTTGAAATCATTGTTTTATAATTTATAATCTTGATATAATTTTTTTTAATTCCTTGATAGTAAAAAAAAATCCTTGAAAAACAAAACAACACTTTTCCGGGTTTGCAAGATATTATTAATTTATTTGATTTTATATTCTGCTATAAATAATTCAAAAATACCTCCTGGATAATATAATTTGTCACTCTGCAACTTCTGTTGAAATAAATATACCAAAATTTTGTCTGTATAGTAAATGAAATGAATATAAATCTTTCCTAACATTTACATGTATACTAGTAAGTTTTAGCCTATTGGTGCTTTACATTTATGTGTCAAGTAGAAGCTAAACATATTGTTATAAGCTTTTAATTTTTTAACAAGAAACACTTAAATTTTTTCTTTCAAATAGGAGAGATTTCATGATAACTTTATGATCACCCCTCGTATACTGTGTTTGTTTCAGCTTAAGGCGGCTGAGGGTCGTGCATACAGCAGTAAGGAAGGTGCAGATCTGGAAATAGAGCTGTTGGAACTTAAAGGGGAGAAAGGTGTTGTTTCACTACAGGTAATAATATGTTTATGAATTTTTATAAAGGCAATATAAAACATTAATTTTTCACGTGACCATAAAGTGGTTTCAGTAACAATTGTTACACTTCTTCTAGTAACCATTTTCTAAGATGGAAATCTATTGTCACTATACCAATGAGAGATTACTCTTTCTAAACACACTGTTATCCCAACCCGTAAACAAATGAAGCAAGTGGCCTCTGTCACAGAAAACACTGACACGCAAAGATAGAATCCAAATACATTGCCTATATCCTTTATTACACTGTCATACATGTAGCTTCTTTCTTCATAGACGGTACGAACATTTAATGACTCCAAGAAGATGTTCAGTTTCAGAAAATTTTTGTCAACTATTTTGATTAAACTTTTGTTTTATGGATGATTATCACACATAACATCATGACAATTAATGTTCTAATTATTAATTTAATTAAAATGTTTTTTTGTGATTGGTAAGGACATTTTTGTGTTTTGCTTGTCATCAGGCCCGTAGCCAGAATTTTTCAAGGGGGGTTCACTTTTCCAAAAAATTCTAGGGGGGTCACTTTGGCAAATTTGGCCAAAAATCACTCAAAAAATAGTCAGTATGGTGACAAACTGCATGATTTTGAAAGACATTTTCGCCAGAACTCCCCCTGGCTACGGGCCTGCATCATCCATACATTGCCTGTATATTTACATCATTTTTTCAAAGCTGCAAACATACCAACAAGAGAAGCAGAAGCTGCAGAAAGATCTAGAAGAGATGCACAGAAGACACAAAGAGGAGTTGGAGATACAGCAACTACAACACTTTCAGGTAACATAGCGAAAATAGTTAGTTTGTTATGTCACTGCTCACATATTGTTGAAGTCTCCCAAATTTTTTGTGGATTGCATTTGGCAGTTGGTGTTCAGCAGTCAGTGTTTGGCAGTTGGTGTTTGACGTTTGGAGCCTGTAACAATTGGCAGGTGATGACATTTTGCTTGAGGCAAAATTGTCACCGATTAAATTTTCATTTCGACCCCTTGTGTCTGTTCACCTTTCTGATTCAGAAACCCCTGAAGATTTGTTTATCCCATATTAGGACCAATTGCAAAAGTGATTGCTGCATACCCCTGTGAAAAATGTATTGAAATCCTGAGAGTATAACATGCAAATAGTCATTTGGTCTTTAGTCTCATTGGTTTAATTTAGTAGTCTTGGGAAATTGAAGTTTGCCGAATTAAATAGTAGCCATTTTAGATTGTGATAGCTAGTAAGGATTATATGATCTCAAGGTTGTCCTCTGATTCAGTAAGCAAATATTTGTTTAAAAATGAATATAAAAAAATTAATGGATATGGTGCCATTTTAATAAGGATAGCATTATCTGAATCAGTCTTGTAATTCCATTTACAACATTACAACAAATGTTCTAAAACCATTTTGTATTCCAGACATTCAGAAGTTATCGTGAGATGTTTGAAGAACAAAAGATGGCGCTGGAGCAGCGGTATCGCAATCTTCTAGAAGACGCCATCCAGGACGCTGTTTATCTTTCATCACGCAATAATGAACTAGTCGACGAGAATGCAGCTCTCAAACAAAGTAAGTTGTATATTCTTGATGCAGAATGTGAAGCAATAATGGTATGGTCAAATTGTCATTGTTCAATTGTGTCACTTTGCCGTTAAATTGCCGCTTATGTTGAAAAACCTTGGCAATTAGTAATTGAAATTGATTGTAATTGTTTATATTAGAAATATATTGATAACATGAAAAAAAATTGTATCACTTTTGTACCTGCAAACAGATGTTGGTGACATATTGTCATGTTAATGCCTTGTTTGATTTTATTAATTTGTTACAATTCTTTATGATTCCAGAGCTGGCAGAAAACAAGGACACTATCAGTCAGCTAGGTGGACGAGTATAGAGTAACTGAATGTGCAGGGCACAGGTGGAATATGCTGGAAATTTTGTGAAATATTCAGGAAAATCGGAGGATTCTTCCTGCAAATGTGGGAGATTTTGAAACGTGGAGACATGAGCCTTTATGCATCTAATTCTACACTATACAGCTCATGTGTACATGATCTTTGGAGGTTTACAAGAAGTTTAAGACGTAGAAGAGCAACAGAGGATATAAAAGACTGATTGTTATTGAGCAGAGAGGTGCTCTTGGATGGCAAATACTGTAAAAGAACAGTCAGTATTTATTTTCTCATATTCTGTGAATCATCTTTTATTTGTCTCGTACAGTAAAACCTGTGTACATTGAACATTTTTTGCTGTGAAAAAATGATCATTGTTGGGAGGTGTTCACAAGAAAGGGTAGTTCATACAGAAGTCAATGGAGGGTGCCCACTAGATATAGGTGTTCACTAAGACAGGCTTTACTGTATAATCAATTATTGATTGATTGAATTACCCATCCAATGCAAATAAGAGAACATTGTGTTGCTCTTGATGATTTAGACTATAATATCATGAAGAATCCGTCCATATATGTACAAGTGTTTTAATGATTTACACTTTTCCGTCCAAAATGTTATAAAAATGTGATTGCGAATCAAGATGTATACAGTTATAATAGTTTTAATATTATATTTATCCTTTAATATTTTGATAGTTCTAAGTGTACTTCTTTATACATATACTTTTTATGAAATTGCAGCATTATTATTTCTTAGGAATAATTTAAGAATATTATGACACCATGTGTCACAGATATATAGGTTTTTTTACTGAGAGGTGTCAGATCCTGTGTTTCTCCTGAGGGAAATATCACAGGGACTGACCTGTGAATGTCTATTTCAGGGGGGATAATCACTGTATTTGAAAAAAGTTAGTATATATATATATACCTTTTATTGACTCTTAGAATGTCATGGTATGACATATTAGTCAGTACAAAAATTATACTATACTATACTCATATACAGTACTATGATAGATTTATATATTGGACCACCCCAACCAACAGTCACAAGTAACATTTTACACTAAAAGGTACACATCTGTAACTATTTATTGTATATTTTACATGTGCATGTTTCATATAAATGATAATCCATGATTGAGATTATGAATTCTTTATTTATCATCTGGCCCATAATATTTTAATTACATGAAGTGAAGGTATTCGGAAATTAATTTGGATTTTTTTTTTTGATAATGTCTGAGTACAGTTTAATGATATTGGATGACATTTTACCATGCCAAATCATTCATTTTAGACTCAGTGTTACTTACTGTATCACTGCATATATTGAAACTGAGATTTTCCAAGAAGAGCTAATTTACAGAATTTTACTGAATTAATCATGAATCAGAGACATTTACATCATGCTATAGAAATAGGAAAGAACAGGGAATAATATTGTAATTTTTTTTATTAATATTATATGTAAACAAATTGTAGCCATTATATAAAATGTATTAGAGAAGTTTTGCAAAATGGATTAAAGCTAAAACTTATCCACAACTGCATCTCGTTTTAAACTACTACACATCTGGCGTATGCGCTACGGATTTTAGATATGTTGTGCTTAAAACATTGTGCAAAATGGCTCTAATGTTAGTGTTAATGTACTTATAGATGTATTACTTAGTATTTGTAATATTTAGTTTTAGTTAATGTCCATCTAAATCACAAAGGCTGGTCCTTGATTTCATAGATTTATAGATATTAATATTGAGACATTAATTTCATAAACAAATAATTATTAATAAATATAAAAATCATATAATAATAGTTTATTGTTTTGTGAGTACATGTATGAGTTGACAGCTAAGAAGGTTATATTTTTCAAATTTCTCAACTGCCCATTTCCAGACAAAGTGCTTGATGGATTCATTTGAAACTTTACAATCTAGAACTGATAAGCCTTTTGGGTATAATGAGTATATTTCTTTTTATTAGAGCTACGTACTATCCACCATCCTTGGAATTGGAATTTTTTTTATTAAGTTATTCATTTGTACAAAGAATACAATACAAAAATACAGTGTGAGTGGCTGTGCTTTAGCATTATTAGCCACGTTCTACAATTACAATATACAATGTATTCAATCAATACTATTGATTAAAATAAATGAGATACAATAAGATAAAAATTGTTTTGTGGAGGATTTCAGACATTTACACATCGCTCGAAGAAAATGGCACTGCACTTTAAAACAATCAGATTCTCAGCTCTACTTAATGTTTTATCACCATTGAGGATCAGAGAAAGTTTATCACGTTGTGTCTTATATTTACGGGAGTATTGTATATTCATATTTTTTAGTTGGTTTTCTAATTCAGTCCAGAATGTTAATCTCAAGTTACATCGAAAAATCACATGGCTGGTTGTTTCACTGTTAATACCACATGAGCAGATTGGGGAATTTACATTGGTAAAGTTATGCGAGTAAAGGTGAGCCTTGAAAATGAAATCACATCGTACTCTGTTAAATATAATTTCTTGATTTCTTGAGATGGACAATTCTGATGAGTTAATAACAGTTTCGTTAAAGATATTGCTTTTAAGGCTTGATTTAAATATGCTTAAGCTAGATGAGTTCTTTATATCAGATGAGAGTAGATTCCATTCTGATATTGTTTTTGAGATACAAGATCTTTCATAAAATTTGGATTTAACTGGTAAAATATAGTCAAGTTGGTGTCTTAGTTCATGTGTTTGATTTCTTTTTAGTGGTTCAAATATCTCAGTGACATAAGAAGGCAGCAAGTTGTTGTGAGCTCTATACATAAAGGTAGCTCTATGATATTGACGTCTATTTGAGAGTGTGGGCCAATTTAAAGTATTCAACACTTTTGTGGCTGATGTTCCATGCATGGCACCTGAACAAATAATTGCAGCTTTATAGTAAAGGCGGTCTAAAAGTTGTAGTTTTGTCAAATTTGCACATCCGTAAAGAATGTCACAATAATCAAAGAGTGGCAAAATAAAAGAATTAAAAATTGTTTCAAGGTGTTTTCCATTTATTTTCTTACTGAAGACTTTTAACGGATTTATGAGTTTATCTATTCTTGCTACAAGTTCAGTAATGTGATAGTCAAAAGTGAGATTTTTGTCCAAAATCAAGCCCAAGTGCTTGTGATTGTTTACTCTTGGTAACTTGTCATTACCAAGGGAAAGATCTGGGGTCAAAATTTCGCGCTTTCTTGGATTAAAAAAAGTCATATCTTTACTTTTACTAGCTTTGAAGTTTAATTTCCATGTATTTGACCATAAGAGAATTTTATTTAGATCCTCTTGTAATTCATTATTCTTATCAGCTGCTGTTTCAGCTGTGAAGGATTGGTAAAGTGACGTGTCGTCTGCATATATAAAACATTTGGTATTTAAGTTATCAGGTAAATCATTGATATAAATTAGAAACAGGAGGGGGCCTAATATGGAGCCTTGAGGTACTCCTGCGTTTATATGGTTCATCTCAGATAGTTCAGACTCTTGGCCATCCAATCAAAGGCATTGAATCAAAGGCGGCCGAAATGTCAAGATAAATCCCCCTTACATTGGCCCCATTTTCAATTTCATTAGTTATGACATCAATTATACTTAGAAGCTGTGCCTGGGTGCTGTGACCTGGCAAAAAGCCACTTTGGAGGTTATAAAATAAATTGTTCACAATTAGATGGTCAAAAAGTCTTTTGAAGATTACGCGTTCTGCAACTTTAGATATACAGCTCAGGAGAGTTATAGGTCTATAATTTTTTACATCTGTTTTGTCTTTACTTTTATGAATTGCTACAACGTGGCCTACCTTCCAAGGTTGGGGGTATTTATTAAGAATGAACATTTTGTTTAATAATTTTGATAATATCGGTGAAAGTGATGGTGCTGCCATTTTAAGCATTCTATTGCTTAACATGTCAGGGCCAGTAGCTTTATTTGTGTCTAACCCAAGTAAAATGCTATAAACCTCTCTATCATTAGTAGAGAGTAGGTCAAAAGATTGATCAGTTCTTGGAATAAAAGTTTCATTTCCTTCTTGATAATTTATATGATATTTGTCAGTGAAATGAGACAGTAGCAAGTTTGCTTTGTCATGGTTATCAGTGTAACTGTTACCCCTAGCATCACAAAGAAGTGGTATTTTACTATTTTTAGATTTTCCCAAAAGCTTGGAATTCTTAGTTTCTTGTCAATTAAGTTACTGGATACCCTGTATTCTATCAAAAAATAAGAAATACGTTTTGTTTTCAGTTTCTTTTATTGCATGTAATAATTGTTATATTTTTACAATTCATTTTAATCATCATTCAAACACAAATCTGAATGTGAATCACCTCAAAAGGTTCCGAATTACATTCAAACTTTTTGTGCAATAGATAGATACTGTTAATTCCACTCATTTCCAATGTGTTTTTCATTTTAAAATAAATTAGCATTGTATTAAAGTCCCATAGCTGTCAAAGATTGATATTAAGTGTTATAAAGATGTGATTAAGTCTGTTATATGTCGTACATTGATTCCCATAAGGGGAGTGGTATACCAAATGCCATGCTTCAAATGTCAAATACAAACTGCAAATATTTTTGCATCTTGAGACTGGAACCCTCAAAATAAAAATTGGCAATAGATCTGAGGCTGGAAGTCTACAATTCTATATGTTCTCCGATTATCTTTGTAACAATTCTATGTGCTCTTCCATTATCATTGTTCCACTACATAGACCATCTGTCTTCCTATAGTCAATGGTTTGCCATTATGTTGTACAGTCACTGATTTTGCACTGAGGTCTATTCCAAATTTGGCATTAGGTGGCAGCACTGTCTTTCCGCTTAGCGGCTCATCGATGACTGGGATTTTTCTTGGGCCCATAATTGGATCATCGTAAATGTAGAGTTTCACTTTAGTGTGGTCTGGAAACAAGCAATATATCAATGCACTGACACATAAATGAAGCATTATCATCAATATTATACAGTTCAGTAAACAGTAAAAACCTGGAACGTCCTTTGTTGCCTCAGAACAGTGTTCTACATATGGAGGTGTTCCATTTCACAAGTATTACTACAATATTGTCTGTAGAATGATTCTATTAGAGGGGTTCTATACAAAATTATGTAATATTTGCATATTTGCCTTCCCTTATTCCAATATAAATTGTCCATGTAATATGAGATTTCCAACAGAAGTCTACTCTTAAATTGAATATTTTGTTGAAAATGTCCACTCTAATGACATAAGACTACATCACCGAAGCCCATCCTTGCTGATTCCACCCTTTTCCATTACATACTATTCTAAAAGATGACCACATTGGGTCTAACATTACCTTTGATGAGTCTATCTTGTTTTGAGATCCTCATGGCAATACGTAGGGGTGTGTCAGCTTCTAATATCGGCACTGTCATTTGGAAATGTCCACTCATGACCTGGGGGTTCACAAGGGTCAGACCAACTGAGGGCTAAAACATACAATGTATATCTTTCATGTACAGTGTGGTAGGCTCAAGGCATTAACATGCAAAATGTCACCAGGCCATTTATTAAAAACACCAACTACCAAACACCAACGACCAAATGCCAAACACCATCCACAAAAAAAAGTTGGAGACAAATACAATATGTCACCACTTCTGGTGTGACACTGCAACATTCTAATATGAGCAATGAGGTATGAAGGTTAAGTCTGATGTAACATAGATGGCATTAGCAAGAAGAGTCAACTTGTTTGGTGAAATGAGGTAAATCATGAATTGCGACAATTCTTCTCAGAGAATGTTTCACTTCAATAGACATTATCCCATATAAACCTTTCTTGTTCAAGGCATGTATGAACCCTTTCTGGTCAATAATCAGCAACAGATTATTACTGTACTAAATTACTTTAAATAAACACTATGAAATCCATATTTATATCATACGAGACGTACCTCTACTCTGTAAGCAATGAATGGTTTCCCAGGGCAACACTCCTCCTTGATCTTGTCATTAGCGTCAATGGAGAACTTCACATCAAGACCTTCCAGCTGGAAAAAGAAATAAAACAAATCATTTAAATTACAGTTTCATATCACTTGTTTAACATTTTTGATTTCAGGAATGTTCATTTTCTACTGGACCCCTGATATTTTCTTATATTTATTAGACACCCTTCATATTTTCTTACACATATTGAACACCCCACATAATATGTTATAATACTTCTTACTTCTTAGACATCCTTTGTACTTCGCTATACTTATTGGCCACATTCTTATACATTGGACACCCATCATATTTTCTTATACCTATTGGACACCCCTAGGCTCTCATATTTTCTTATTATTATTAGACATCCCTCATATTATTTTTGTACTTACATCTAAGGTATTGGTTAGGTAATCCATGTTCTGCTCTAGCACTTGTTTCTCTTCAAAGTCCAATGTTAGATCTAAAGCCCTCATTCCTGAGCTCTCAACATTTTCCTGTAACAGCATTACAAGGGTAGAATCAAAGAGGATTTTACAAACTTAGTAAACACAATAAGCTGTAGTTGTATAATAGTAAATTGGCACCGCATTACAAAAAATAACTTCACTGACAAGTTCACACACTTGAGGGAAGAATACACCTTCCTATTTTTATCATTTATATGGTATAAATCAATGAGTTGGAAATATGAGTGATATAATAATTTTTTTATTAATTGCTGTGACTGAAATACCTTGCATGACTGCACAAAGGGCATCACTTTCTTCATGTATTTCTTTAGCTCTGGTTTGTTCTTAAACTCAGCAGCGATTAGCTTGTTCTCAGGAAATCCATTGTGTTTCTAAAATAACATTCAAAAGTAAGGTATTTATTATGATCAAATTGGAAATTGCAGTTTGTTATATTTTAATGCTTATTAGTCAGAAACTGTCTCACTCATTTCTATTAAGGCTGACCCATCAAGAATTGTTCAGGTACTAGTACTAGTACAGCTTATGAAACAATGTCAATAATGACATGAAATTAATGGGACCATTCAGTGGACTCACAAGATAGAGAAGAAGGCAAAAATAGTTGTCGGGACCAATTGTTTGAATGACTAGCATAGACCCCATAAAATAGATATAAACATTAGTTCAGAAGAAAGGCAGTTTTAATTTGTCTGGAAATCTTTTAAGCAAATGAACAAAAAGGTGGACAAGAGGGGTATTCCATTGGGTCACCATGTAGCTCAAAATAACACACTGTTCTTAATTATGTCTAGTTGTCACTAACCTGATGTTGTTCCTTTAATACAGTGAGAACTGTGCTCTGCCAGGGAGGGTACGTCTTAGCTATCCATATGGTACCATGTGTAGGTCTTTCTGCCAACACTGACTTCTACAGAAATAAAAAAAAATATTTGTAAATGACAACTGGGATCACAACTGTCTTTACAACACTAGAATTACAGGTATGCACAGTTCATCAACATTGTTCAATGGCTTTCCTTGTAATTACACTTCCACTATTTTGTAAATATGATTAAATGCAAATAATGTCAAAGACATAACCAGGTAGTAGAATGATGACAAACAGATAATAATGATCTAAAATAGTCTGCCTTGCATTCTAGTATAATTTGAATTAATGATTATTGTTTTTCATCTTACTTGTTATATGGATTGTAATACAAACACAATTTCAATTTGCCTACCTTGCCTTTACCAGGGGTCGTGACACTCTTATATCTAATACGAAACTCATGAGCTGCTTCCATTAGATAGACGGATGATCGTACCAGGATGTCATCCACTTCTCCCGCCACTCGCCACTTAGCATGCATTATGCTACCACTCTATAAATAGACGTCATATACAGAATCTATTTGTTCCTCACTCATTAGAATATACTATTAGAATTGGATTGATTATCTGCTCACATTTAGAAAATTCATCTAGAAATGATTAATGAATATCAGTTTTTCCAGAAATAACGTTTCCCCTTTGTTTTTTAGTACCCCCCCCCTTGTTTTCTGATTTTCCATTATAAATTCTTCAACGTTCAATGAATCAATCACATACCTTGCCAATAATACTCCATATATGTTCACATATATGTGGACAAATAGGCGCCAACAACAAAGTTTGTGTTTCTATGAAGCGCATCACAAGATCACGATGCATGTCACCTTGTGTTACCTCACGGTACTTGTCTCGACATGCCTGCAATGTACAAGTCGAGCATTATTCAATACAGTACTGTACTTAAACATACTCATACTTCTGTTTTCATAAAGTCTGTACACTCAAATTAGTAAAAGCTGGGCCTTAATGTAAAACTGACTAAAAATATACTCCTTATTAGGGAAATATTATTTTTCTCCTTATCACTTTTACCACTGGGGGGTATCGTGATGCAACAACACCGTGTTGTTGCATCAAGATGGCCAGACTTCCGGTGATAGATTTTCGTACGATGTTTTGTTTTCCCAAATTACACCCATTTCTAGGACGAGTTGCTCAATAACCATACACATGCAGTTAGCGCATGATCTATATTTTAAAAAACTGTCATTGGTATACATGTAGCATCATCAAGAAGCGATAAATTCGTGGTTTTAATTTCTCACTATTGATGCAACAACACCACTCTGTTTATTATCGATGATGCAACAACACCAATGTGCTGATGCAAAAACGCCAATATAATGTATCATTGAACAACAAGAGAAACTGTTTTATGTTCTGTTTAGGGCCTACAGGTGTTGGTCGGGACGTGAATAAAACGCGTGAGTCAGTGGTCCATGAACGAAACGTATTCATTATTTTGTTTGGTTTCTTTGTCTATATCAAAGTTAAAAGGATATACAAGGCAAACTAAATAGAGAACAGAATCCCCGGGAGGCAATCTCATTGATATTGTATCTGAAAAATAAAGATTATACATTTACTAAATTAAATGCCCTTGATTTACCGTATGGAAATTGCTTACAAATCACTAATATAATTTTGGAAAGACAACAGATATCAGTCATTTTGTGTAGTTAGTACCTCAATTGAAATACTCAATTCTGATTGGTTGATGAGCGGTCAACAAAATGTATTGTTAGTACCTTAACTGAAATACTCGATTCTAATTGGGTGATTAGCGGTCAAAATTATGTACTGTTGACCGCTACTGCGTACTGTTGACCGCTACTAGGTACTGTTGACCGCTACTTCTGAAAAAAAGTTTCATGACGTCACAAAAAACATGGAAGACGGACATTTTGTAAACGTTGATGAAAATGACTTTACTAGGCGACAAGTATTGCAAAAATACAAATAGAAACTTAAAGTTAACATTAATTCACTAACGAGTACGCTGTGATGTGCCAAATACAGAGTTAAGCTACTTGCACTGTCTCCAGATTTTCTAAAAAAATATTGCTAACGTGGTTCGGAGAAAAGGTTGTGAAATGAAGCCATGCCGATTGATGATTGTCGTCTATATGTGTATTATTAGTTTACTCGGACTAACAAAACAATTGTAGACCTCTCCATTCGATCAACCGTCAAAATCATATACCTCGACTGTAAACCTTGAAACTACTGTTGACCTCGACCTTCGGTCTCTGTCAACAGTAGTTTTTCGGTTTACAGTCTCGATATACAATTTTGCCGGTTGACCTCTGGGGAGGTCAACAATTGTAAACTGTTGACCACTACTAGGTACTGTTGACCCCTATTTTTGAAAAAAAAAATTAATTACAATTACAAGTATTCGACGGTTTGGGGATTTTTTGCTAAAATATGATACCTTTACTTATCAAATATGTTCACGTGATATTCGATTATATATTCGTCCAATTATTATATCATTTGGACAAACAGAACAATTGTTAACCTCTCTTTTCGGTCAACTGACAAACGTGTCCTCGACCTCTGGTCTTGATCAACAGTACTCCCAAGGTTTACAGTATCGGTATAAAATTTTGCCAGTTGACCTCAAGAGAGGTCTACAATTGTATATTATATCCCTCAATTTATTATATTCTTCGGACTAACAAACAACTGTTAACCTCTCTATTCGGTCAACTGGCCAAAGTGTATACCTCAACAGTAAACCCTGAGAGAACTGTTGACCTCGACCTCCGAACTTTCAAGGATTACAGTATCGGTATACAATTTTGCCAGTTGACCTCAAGAGAGGTCTACAATTGTATATTGTATATCCTTTGTTATCCCACCCAAAGTATGATATCATATATCAAGTTGAAGAGTTGTATACGCTGCTCAGGAGTTTACGCTATCCAGGAGTTGTACATCGTTCTCAAGAGTTGTATAGGATGAGTGTTGGTTTAATGATATTGCAGTTATACAATGCTATTATATAAAGGTTATTTACTGAGAGGGATTCAATATTGGTTTTATTCCGAGAGACAATATGATATTTCCCGAGGGCCCGGGAAATCTGGGATAACTGTACCCCTATCAATTTACCTTTTTGGGCCCTTAATCGTATCACTTTTGTTTACCTTTTTACTCTGTCGGAGAGAAGGAATCCAAAGAGAGCAATAATTCTACACGTGCGTCGTGCAAGATTTCCATTAAACGTGTAACTAAACGACCTTTCTAATAAAGTCAATCAGACGTTTTTACACGTTGGCTCTCCAAATTGGAGGAAATAAAGAATTATATCATATTATATCATAGATGAAGCAATCATCCTATCAACATAAGCTCACGGATGTTACAGTTAAACTGTTTTAGTTATAATTTGATAAACAGTGGTAACGTACATCTACTAGTTTATCACTGTTCCACAGATGGATGACAGATAATTTCCAATAGCTCATCATGTTTACCGAGAACGAAAGATGTTTGTCCACCATTTTGAATGATAACTGGAGTCAGGGTCATCAAGCTATGGAACAGTGGGTTACTAAAGCTTGCCATGTTAAAGGCGATTGAACTATGTTATAGAACAACGTCCAGTACATTATAATATTTAAAAGTATAAATTTTTGAAAATACATATAAAGGATCTTCGCCCGCAGGACGTGTATTTTGAATGCCTTGAGAATAACGCAAATATGGGTAATGGGTAACGGTGTTGCAATAGTAGCATTTAAAAATCTGTTCCTCTCGAGATTTATGGTCTTCTGAAATTATACTATTAATTGGTGTTGCTGCATCATTGCTCAAATCTAGAGGGGTGTTGTTGCATCTTCGGTTTGGTGTTGTTGCATCAATAGTGAGGAACTAAAACCGTGAACTTATTGCTTCTTGGTGATGGTACATGTATACTAATGACAGTTTCTTTAAATATAGATCTCGCGCTAACTGCACGTGTATGGTTATTGAGCAACTCGTCCTAGAAATGGGTTTAATTGGGGAAACAAAATATCGTACGAAAATCTATCACCGGAAGTTTGGCCATCTTGATGCAACAACACGGTGTTGTTGCATCACGATACCCCCCAGTGTTTTACTTTTAACATGGTAATAATCAAGGATTGGACATTTCACAACACATAAGAGTACAGCACTGTTGCCCAAACAGTGCAGTTCAAGGTGCTCCAATGGGACTGTTACAGTTTTAAACAGCACCATTTACAGCATTGTTACATGATGTGGATTGGGGGTGTAGTGTTACAAGGAAATATACCTGGAACTCAAAGAAGCCGCTCTTGAGGACTTCTTTGTATAACATCTTCTCATATAACTGCTCAGTCTCCCTGATGGCCAGGTTCATGTCACTGCAAAAATAAATAACAAAATTTTTTCTTGTCATGGCATTCGGAAGACAAGGAATTATTGTGCTAATTTACATCTTCTTTAAGCCACTGTAGATCTACATAATGAGAATTTTGTGTAATTTTCAAGTTCACAATTACCTATAGTTTTTATTTTTCACAACATATACAGTATTTCAAAATCAAAATATCCTGATTAAATTATTTGTTTTGTGAACTAAGTGTGAAACAACCTAAGCTAATATTAAATAAATGCATAATAAAGTTTCAATATCCCAAGTACACATTTAGATTAATTCAGGTACCTAGCAAAGACCCTGTCATTAAAGGAAGACACATCCCCAGTGCGCATACTGTCTCTGGAGGCCACCATCTCCCTGACCCACTCAAGGTATGTATAGAGACGCAGCAACCCAGCTTCAGCCTGGCTCTCTACAAAGTTGGCATCCTCAACGGAGTCTCCACTATCTGCCAGTGAAAATCTCATTCCTGAAATCAGTGAATTATGGACAGTGAAATATTTCTATACCAAATAACTCTCTTATCCAAACACCCATGTGATCACCAATTTTAAGTCCCAATTTTGTTATCGTCCATAAACTTGTATATTAATACATACAGTTTTGGCTGATCCCAGTGGTGTTTGGATTAAACAGGTTTTGCTGTAGGGTCTTATTGTTGAAACTGGGCATGGCATATAATCCCAAACATTTTCAAGAGGCTACTAATATTATAGACTATTTCAAGAAAACACTAGTTCCTATGTCCACCTAATAATAACTTGCTCACATGTACTCCACAGGGCCACATTACACTTCTATTTAGGCTTGAAAATACATGTATACTTCAAAATTACGAGTAGATACTAAAAGCCCGAAAATACACTTCCCAAACACTTTCCTCTAAATCGATTCCTTTGTAAAACCTTTCAAATGACCTTCTAATTGACTAATGCTAACTGAACCCTCTATATATGACTGGATTACTTTTGTGAGTACAAGCTCGACCTCAAAATATTGTGAGCATTTGAAGATCCATGTTGAACCAAATATACCCCAAACTTGCTAATACAACCCGTGGTTAAGCCATGATACCACCAACCAAGCAAGCTCACAGTATCATGAGCAGGGCTCTTGCCAGGAAATATTTAGGATGTGGTGGGAGCTAAATAGACTTTGCTGCTGCTCCACAGTCTAAAAGCCTAGCAAGAGGCCTAATTAGGTCTGGTTTTATACCCACAGGTTTTACTGTACTTTGCAGTACTACCAGGGGTTTCATTAGCAACAGGCAACAGGCAAATTTCACCGGTTGTTTTCACAAAATTGCCTGTTGTTTTTAGGGACTTTTCCATGTTAAATGTATGATTTCCATTAATTTTGCCTGTTGTTTTCATTTATCTAGCCCGTTGTGAGAAATTATAGTGAAACCCCTGACTACTCACCATCTGCAGAGAATTTTGATATGGCTTGCGAGAGAGTGAGGAAGTTGCCTGTTGACTTGGACATCTTCATTGAATTCAGCATCAAGTGGCCATTTGCTCTGATACTTTTAGGCCATTTATCTCTGCAAAAGAAAATCATTAATCATTTTCAAGATCTTTGATGGTTTTCAAATGCCAAAATTAAACTGTGAGTTGTATGTACCTTTTAAACGCTTCATAATATTTATACTTGTCATTTTTAACTATTTGATATTTACAACCTGTTTTAATGTACCTAATCAAAACGCCACTCGGACCAGTCACTGGATAAAAGCTTTTGGATTAGGAAGTTTTCATATTTTAATTTTTTCACATTCCTGGGAGAAAAAAACCCAGACAACCATCCTGACAAATTGTCTTACTTCTGATTGGGCCATATAGCTGTATGGTTGTAAAGGAAGTAGGTGAGATGATTTGGTACAAGATCTTTTCCAGATACTCTCAGATCAACAGGGTACCAATATTCAAACTCTCCTCTCATCCTGTCCATTGTGGCTTTGGGGATATCTGTTTTGGGTAAAGGTGAATCCTTGAAGAATATGTAGTCCCAAACCTCTGGAGTCATTTGTTCTGGCCTGAATGAAAAAATAAATCAATAACAATCAATTAAAGATTAAACAGGGTGTCCAGAAAATAAATGTATAGTTAGACAAATTCCATCATTAATTCCTGTGGCTGTACAAGTGGATGCCTCAATAAAGGGATGAAAAACAGGCATTTATATACTATATACAATTGTCATGTGTTTATCTACAAGTCCTTTCACACTGTCAATGATTGAATTCAAGAAGTAAAAGGAGTCTATACAGGTACACATATATCATTATAGGTCTAACTTGACTACAGTATACGAGTCAGGTTAAACCTAAAATTATATAATTGGACATAAAATACTTGGAAAGGTATTTCTCTATAGTAGCATAAGAAACTCACTTAATTCCTACAGGGCTTTTGCCAGAACCATCAAACGTTCCACCCTGGAGTAGGTGAGCCACTGTGTAGTAGGCCATGTAGATTGTGGAGTCTGAGAGGGACTCTATCAGGTATTGGGGGTCCCATGGCAATCTTGTACCTATATTTAAAATCAATTTATAAAATGTAGGATGGCACAATTAGTTCAAACCTTTTACAACTTTAGTTTACTACACACAGAAATCAATTTTTGGAACATCTTTGTTAACATATTATAGTCATTGAGCTGAGGAGATATGACATTTTCTACTTGTTTTGAACCCTGTCAATCTTTCGTAATAGATACACATGCTCTTTCAGGATTCATAATGACATTCTATTTTAGAAGACAATTAGTGAATGACCTTGAAATCTGAATTACAATTTGACCAAATATGATCACATTTCTCAAAATCAAATGCTACCTACCTAAGCCATATGACCTTGAGCAGGCGTGTTCGTGCAACCAATCATAATCAATTGCTACCTTATCCATATGACCTTGAGCAGGCGTGTTCGTGCAACCAATCAAAATTGAGTGCTACATACCTAAGCCATATGACCTTGAGCATGCATGTTCGTGCAACCAATCAAGTGTAGCGTTGAAGTTCCTCGTAGTCTCTTCAGTGTATGTCTCACACTGGTCCAAGGCCTTCTTTGTTTCACTTTTCCATTTTTCTTCTCCATACTTCAGGTACCTGAGAGAATATGTCATCTTGATTAAAAACCTTGACCCCCATCTATATCACTATTACAAGAACAAATTATATCATTTTTACTATATACCAGACCAAAGTTAAAATTGTTATTTAGATAATCAACTAAATGTTTTAAACACTCACAAATGCTAAATTAAACAAGATGATCATAGCTCGCTGAACTGTATTCTACTGATTTGAACCTATACTTCTGACGTGAAATTTAACTTGGGACTTTTAAGTAACTAAAAGCGTACAACTTCTGAGAGACAATGTTATTTTACCCACCACTGATCACAAAGGGCAACTACACATTCATCAGCTGAACGAGAAATCACCAATTTCTCAGGTTCCATATACAAAACTGCTTCTTTCTTGGCTATCATTTCTCCTTGGACTTGCTTCTTCACATCTTGTACCTTTTGACCTTTATAAGCACCAACCAGCATCACCTAAGTGTAAAAGTACATTAACTGTTTGAATACATGTACCTATGCAAGGTAATTTTGGCCAATCATATACAATGCAAGCTACTTCTTAAATTTTATATCCTAACATTTTCAGCCTAATACCTAGGGTATGCTGAATTTAAACTAAACATTCCAATGGGTGATTTTAACACAAAAATGTCTCGAATACTCACCCCTTTATAGAATCCCTCTAGATAGACTTTCTCTTTGGCCTCCTGTAGTTTATCTTTGTCATTCTGACTCTTGATTTTCAATTGTTCACAGACTGTGACAGCACACAGATTGCCAAAGCTGGGGACGTCAATGATTGGCACAGGGTCATAGGGGATCACCATGTCATCCTTAATGTTGTACTTCTCTCTGAATGGTGCCTTGTTTTTCAGGTCGCGAAGGGCAGCAAAGTCATCTGGGGCATCTGAGGGTACACTTGTAACAACGCCAGTACCTTAGATGATGCAAAAATATTATAAATTAATAACTAGAAGTACAATAGTCAGGCCTGATTTGATGACCTATGTATGTAGCCTGGTAAACATGGCCAACCCAGACTTAATGTGCAAATTTACATTTCCGTGGTCAAATGGGAGTAAAGAAAATCATTGTGTCATTTCTGTCACACATACTAAATCAAACTGCCACACTATCAGTATATACCACAATTTCAGTATGTACCATTAACTTGGAATTCATGAGATTTCAAATGTTGGTTGCTTTGCCCACCTTAATTGTAACATATTACATTGTATATGGGTAATATTGTTTATGTCATACCTTTATCTGGCTTGATGGTTAACATTGGTAGTGTGTAGATTGTCTTATTGATTGCTTTGCCCACCTTAATTGTAACGTTTTACATTGTATATGGGTAATATTGTTTATGTCATACCTTTATCTGGCTTGATGGTTAACATTGGTAGTGTGTAGATTGTCTTGTTGATTGCTTTGCCCACCTTAATTGTAACATTTTACATTGTATATGGGTAATATTGTTTATGTCATACCTTTATCTGGCTTGATGGTTAACATTGGTAGTGTGTAGATTGTCTTGTTGATTGCTTTGCCCACCTTAATTGTAACATTTTACATTGTATATGGGTAATATTGTTTATGTCATACCTTTATCTGGCTTGATGGTTAACATTGGTAGTGTGTATATTGTCTTGTTGATTGCTTTGCCCACCTTAATTGTAACATTTTACATTGTATATGGGTAATATTGTTTATGTCATACCTTTATCTGGCTTGATGGTTAACATTGGTAGTGTGTAGATTGTCTTGTTGATTGCTTTGCCCACCTTAATTGTAACATTTTACATTGTATATGGGTAATATTGTTTATGTCATACCTTTATCTGGCTTGATGGTTAACATTGGTAGTGTGTATATTGTCTTGTAGGCAGTCAGAGGGGCCTGGAGTGCCATACCTAGAATATCCTGCAATATAAAGTACACATACATATGTGGTTATGTTTAATTTCTGAATAAAGGGAAGTGGAATGAAGTGGCAATGAGTACAGGAGATGGCTCCATTTGTAAACATTTCAGAGAAACTGAGAAATCATTCAATTCAGTCTCGAAGTTAAGATTATGGATGATTGATGTAATGCAAGAAGTGCCTTTTCATTGATAGAACAGTCACTGAATGCAACAGGGGGGGGGGGGTACATTTAATGCCTTGAGTGGATATCATTTTGTTCCAAGTGCTGAAGTAAGAGACTTGGAGGAAGAACAATGTGCTATGGTGAAAGAGATGGAGATGCTAATCTTCAAGTGCAAGCTAAGATGATGATGTTCTTTTTTATGTTGACCCACGCCCTCCGAAAAACTCCTGGGGACACCCCTGATTTGTAAGCTAACATACCTGCCCAATAAGCTTTGCAACAATAGGGACAACTGCATTCTCCTTGGTGAAGCCCTGATAGCTCATATTCCTAGCTGCCCGCTCTGTGCACACAAATATCTCACCATCTCCAGTCTCGAAGGCAATATAAGCCATGTCTGGTCGCACCCAACAGTTAGTCTGACCGTACATGGTCTCAGGTCTCAGAGTTGCAGCTACCAGGAAAACTGGTTTCTTACCTGCTTTGCTGTAAAGTATATGTGCATGTTAGGCTAGATTATTTTAACTTTAAATTAAGCAATTCTTTTTAACTAGCAGGATGAGATGAAAATACATGTACTTTATTTTTCTGGTAGCATTTAATGTGGCTTATTTCATAAACACTTTTGTCAAAATCACAATTTACATTTACAATAAAAGTTCAAAATATATGAAGACAATAATCTAAACATTTTGTTTATCTTTTCCTAGCCTCAAATTGTAGGAAGTCCACCAATAGTAAATTGTTTTGACTGGAGATATTTCATTCCTTAGACAGTTCTTTCCTCTCATAGTTTCATCAACATGTCATTTCAAGGCTTGGATATTGTTCTCCTCATAAGTGATGATTCAAATATTGAAAGTCCTACCTGAGTTTTTCTGGGTATGGTTGTACTGCCTTCATCTTAATCAGAGTGTATTCCTGGGGACCAACTCCCTGTAAGGTATGTTTGCTTAATATAATATGGATAGATACGTGTATAGAGTTAAACGAGTGGATAGACTGATAGAAAGAGTGTATTCCTGGGGACCAACTCCCTGAAAGGTATGTTTGCTTTATGTAATATGGAAATATACATGTATAGAGTTAAACGAGTGGATAGACTGATACAAAGAGTGTATTCCTGGGGACCAACTCCCTGTAAGGTATGTTTGCTTGATATAATATGGATAGATACGTGTATAGAGTTAAACGAGTGGATAGACTGATAGAAAGAGTGTATTCCTGGGGACCAACTCCCTGAAAGGTATGTTTGCTTTATGTAATATGGATATATACATGTATAGAGTTAAACGAGTGGATAGACTGATAGAAAGAGTGTATTCCTGGGAACCGACTCCCTGAAAGGTATGTTTGCTTTATGTAATATGGATATATACATGTATAGAGTTAAACGAGTGGATAGACTGATACAAAGAGTGTATTCCTGGGGACCAACTCCCTGAAAGGTATGTTTGCTTTATGTAATATGGATAGATACGTGTATAGAGTTAAACAAGTGGATAGACTTATAGAAAGAGTGTATTCCTGGGGACCAACTCCCTGAAAGGTATGTTTGCTTAATGTAATATGGATAGATACGTGTATAGAGTTAAACAAGTGGATAGACTGATACAAAGAGTGTATTCCTGGGGACCAACTCCCTGAAAGGTATGTTTGCTTTATGTAATATGGATATATACATGTATAGAGTTAAACGAGTGGATAGACTGATAGAAAGAGTGTATTCCTGGGGACCAACTCCCTGAAAGGTATGTTTGCTTAATATATAATATGGATAGAGCTGATACATGTATATAGTTAAATGAGTAGATAGACTGATAGAAAGAGTTAGGGATTCCAGAGGTGAACGATGTGAACCAACAAAATGATAAAATAAAGATCTTTCTTCAGATTCTCTAGACTTCTACCAAGTCAAAAGGCTCATTTTTGTTTTGTATTGTCTTGTTTGACCTTCTTTGAAGCGCTATTTGGTACTTTGATAACAAGTCTGAAAAACCTGAACGCATAAATAAAGTAAAAAGCCAATCAATTGAACCCCTTCATATTGGTAGGAACTCTGGGTAATTACCTCTCCTTCGCTTCTGTCATGGTCCATGCAGGGTTGGCCATCTTTAGGTGAAAATATAGTGTATCTGCAACAAAAAAATAACTTTAAGAATTTGCGCTATAATTTTTAAAGAAACATGTCCCAGTTAATTTTTGAATAGGCAAATGCACATTTCACTATCACAATTTACCGATGAATAAATAATATCAATATATGTACATTTAAAAATCTATATTGTTTGAGGATTATTTTATCACCTTTTGCCAAAATCAATCTTGTTTGCTTTTCTTAAATGAAGGAACTGCCACCTGACAAAGGAGTCATAATATGGGTTCACATCTGTTGTGATGAAAGATCTTCTCCAATCAACCTAAAATACCATAGCAACATAGCAAAACATAAGAACCTGAAATCATCACACTCAGTGATCGTAAATAAAAATTTCATCTAACTAATTCCTTTTTTCTACAACTTGAATGAATTCAACATTTCATATTTTATTTATAGCATTTTCAGTTCTTTTTACTTTTTACAACATTTTTAATTATTTGAGCTTTATCCGAGTGAAAATTCTGTTCAATTGCAGATTTGTTGCATAAACTTTAAATCAGATACCATTCATCGGCAATACTATTCTTCATATTATCCAAACAGTCCTTATATTTCCAAACAACCCTACCTTTAGCCCCATGGCCATGAGGTCAGCCTTACAATGGGGTGGGAAGTACTCCAGCCAATGTGTGTGATCAGCAAATTTGACAATCTCTTCATCAGAAAGGCCCAGAGACTGCATAATCTGCCACTGGTACGTCAAGCCACCAGACTTGGCTTGCGCTTTACTCTATCAATATATAACAGTGTGTCATAGAACTTGTATCATGCCGTAACTACAATCCATTTACTGAATAACATTCTGAACTGTAAGAAATCAATTATTATGTCAATGGAAACAGAATATTGACTTTATCCAAAAGAGGATTTATTCGAAAAAGGAATATTAGTATATGAGGTACTCCAGCCACACAGGGTGCTGGATGTTTGCTAACTAAACTTAAGGTAATTATAGGGTATGACATTCATGTTTCATATGTCCAATTAAATTCAGCTGTAAGTTCATGACACATACCTTTTTGCTCTTGGACTTGTCTTTGATAATAGGTTCATTGTCTTCCACTTTCTTCACATCATCTTGGGGTTCAGGGAACACTGGAGGACAACCAAAGTCTTCAATTTCACGCTTAAGCTTATCTGCACATGCCTAAGGTGGAAATACAAAGATATGTAATAGGGTTTTACAAACAGAATTTTTAGTTTCATCATATGGTTACATCATAGATACATACAGTTAAACGTGTCTCATCGAAATACCATTATACCATTACAAACGTGTTAAGATTGACAAGTGTTCATATTTCAAGGTTTTTTAACAGGGTAATTCTGGAAGATTTAAAATAGAAATGAAAAGGGTATTTACTGTACATTGAGAGTTGTTTGATAAGTTTGGTGTTTGGATAAACAAGTTTTACTTTAAACGCTTTCTTTCATTTGAAGTTTGCCCAATGGTTGTTCCAAGAATTTTTTTCAGAAGTAAAAATGAATTTTTAAATTTTGCGGATATGTATTTCCTGTCAATAATTTTTCATAATTTCAAGTATGATTAATGTACATTGTAATTAGACACTGATGACATAGTGTTCCTGATCTGTAATTCTACCTTGAATACTACGAGTACATGTACAGTGTCTAAATCAAGGTGTAGCAATCTGTCCAGTTCTCACCTTAATTGGCATTCCAGTGCAATGAAAGCCAAACGGAAAGAGACATTTCTTGCCTTTCATGCGTTGATAGCCTACTGCAAACTGAAACACAATGGAAACTGATCAAATTCATAGCAAAACATTTGAAATCAAATATGAATTGATAACATAACATTAAAATCCTAAAAATTAAAATTCTTAAAATTAAAATCTGAAAAATGTCTATTGGAATAGTTGTCCAGTTTCCATCACTACTTGTGAAAAAATAGAAATAATAAGGTTATATCTACACAATTTTATGGTTTAGGTTTTTGTCAGACTATTTATTTTGATGTTAAAGTGATAATCAGGTTACATTTTTTGTGGCATTTTTAGTCAATCACTTTTCAAACATCTGCTTTCAACATCTTGAACGCTTGTCAGGTTATTTTGGACCAAAATGGTCAAATTTGGTCAAATTTGAACCCCCTAGATTTTTAAAAACTGACCCCCCCCCCTTGACAAAAACTGGCTATGGGCCTGCATCCTCATTTTAAACATTTAACATTTTTAAACATTGTAACTTTTAACTATACCTCAGCCTTGGACAGACAGAAGGTGTGGCCCAGATGTAGTCTTCCATTCATATAAGGGTATGGAAATGTCACCACATACTTCTCCTGACTAAAATAAAGTAACATAGTATCAGTAATTAATTTGAATCAATGTATTACAGTGAACTCCCCAGCATTAAAGCAAGTGGGCGCAGCACCCACCTGAGATTTTAAAAACAGGCTTGCACTTTGATTCACACTAAGATAAGAAAACTACATGTTAAGCACAAGAAAATGTTTTTCTTTAAATTTGAGTCGTAGATGAGAAAATAATAACTTACGAATTGCCTTTTTGTTCAGCATCTTCTTCAAAAACGTTCCCATCTTGCCACTGTTTCTGAATGGTGCGTTCAATTTCTAGTAATTCAGTGAGTTTAGCTGTACCTTTACGAGACATGTTGATGCTCCTGTCAGTTCTTGCTTTAGAAGTTATAGATCCAAGCTACAAAATCAAAAATTCTCCTGGTGACTTCCATGAAGATCTTGGAATAATGTTGAATAAATTATAGTGCCATGAAATATGGGCTTTTTGTCAGTCAATCATGTCTGGTAATAATAAAAATATTAATGAATGTTTTACGCCCATTTGTGGACGACTTTTGCGAATTTATAAAAATATTGAAGAATCACTGAACTTCGAAATGTTAATTCAACAAACTAAACAGGAAAACAGGAAACAGGAAATAATTTTCTTTGACGCTAATTTAAGGTAAGTCTGCATGTTCTGAATTCTGCTGCAATCCTCATTTGAGTCACATTTTATTTTTCAAATAGGAATCACTTCTTCTCCACATTGTCTACATCATTCAGTTTTGCACAAAGAGTGCACTTATATGCCTAGAAAAGACTGTGAAGAAGATTTTCTGTAAAATGTGTAAAAAACAAGAAAATTCAGTGAAAAAATTCAGTGACCTTCTGTCGCCGAATCTTCTCATTTTTTATTCACTCACAAAACAAATCTTCTCACCAGAATTTATTTCATACATTATTTAAAACTACAAGTGCGGAATCTTTTTCGTCAAAAATATTGATGTTTTTCAAATGGATAATGGATACACATCTTTATCATGATTTTTGAGATTTGGCCTGAGATTACACCCTAAAAGATCTAGAAAAACATATTTCATACCTCAATCTTGCTATTATGGCAAGATAATACTGCGAATGTACTGCAAAATTCATAAAATGCATAAAGTGATCCGCGCTCCGCCTTATGACCAATCACATTGCGGGACACATGAGCAGTATCCATGTAACCTGATATTCATTACTTATTGAATTGTATTGGACTTCCAACTACCGTGGTGATTCCTCATTTGAAAAATAACATGTGACTCAATTGAGGAATGCAGCAAAATTCAGAACATGCAGACTTACTATGCTTCCGAACTATGTTCAACCATTCTGGTATGCCAGAGCCACTCTTATCTGCCGTTTGCGAGAGACTCTGGTTTATTGAACAGGCCAACTCGTTTAAGGGGCCGTGCTATACGTGAGACCAGCTAAGCCAATCAGAGCGCTCCTTACATAAATCGATTTGACCCAGATAATTGTTTAATTCATTTCTAATTTTATTGCATGAATACCGTGAAAATCAAGTGCTATATGCTATAAAACCAATAAAAAACTATCGTTGTGTTTGTTTTATTGTCAACAGTTCATATCCAATCGAAAATGATTTTTCTGCAGACTATTTTTTTCATAACGAGTGTACACTTTCGCGTTTTTAGAAACTTCGCACAAACCATAGAAATCTGTCAATCATAATGACGTATTTCTAAAGCGTCTTTTGATTCGCCCGTCGATAAAGCTGGCCGAGGAACGAATATAACTGCACGTTAAATCGCGGTCACTTTGGAAGGATAAAGACAAAAGGGACGCGGATGCAATGATGTTCAACACAACAAAGCTAAAACAGCAGATGAGCTCTTATTCTAATAGTAGCCTACTTCTTGATATAGCTAGGTATGTTTAGTATGGGCCCTTTAGTATCGCTGTCAGCTGTCATTATCAAATTCAAAAGCCTCCCTCAAAATATTTTGTAGAAATAATGATGATGTGACGATAACATGGCCATAGGCTCACATCTTATCGACATATTATAGAGAAATTGAATCAAACATTCTATCAAACATTTGTAACACAACTATACTTACCTACAAGCTTGGATAACCGAGTAAATATGGATAAGTTCAGAATTTCTTAAATTTTCATCAGCTCGTGGCAGACAGGAAAAGACTGCTTTGAGATACAAAGTCAAAACTTAATATGCTACGTTTAACATAACTATAGAACATATAATTCCACTTGGAGGTCAGTTTATCTAATAATCGTTTAATGTTGCATATGAACACATTCATAATTATCGTAAAGTGCAAAAATTCGTCAAAAAGTAAAAGATAAATGCCGTAAAATTATTTTATATCCGGGCATTTTCAAGATGTCAGCGCCCTTAAAATATTGAAGTTTTGTTACAAAATTGACAATACTGATGATATCCGCAAATAATGTCTGATTTCGACGACAGAAGTGGTATTGTTTGTTGCAAAACAGACTGGGGGCGATGGTGGCAAACGATGGATGAAGTTGTTGTCGAAGTTGATGTTCCAGAAGGAACAAACGCCAAAAATATCAAGTGTGAAATAAAAACAAAATTGGTCAAACTCTCTTTACAAGGAAATGTAATATTTGAGGTGATTATTTCACATTATTATATGACTGCCAAACTTGATTTGTCAAATATCATGAAAGATTAGTCGACGTTCACTGACCGTACTTTCACACAGGAACACCTTGTGCAAGGCGTTAGCATAGGCCCGGGAACATGTATATAAAAGATCGAGTCTAATACACCCAGTAAAGAGATAACGTGATATACTTGGAAACAAACATCAAAATTTTAAAAATTGAAAAAATACTAACGCCTTATACCTTATAAAAGACTCTCAATTTGACGTAATTAGAATTTGAGATCATTTAGTTTATATCAAGATTATAACCATGTGCATCAACTAATAATCTGTTACTTTAAATGTAATATTAGGTAGGCCTATGAGACAATATTGATCATGATAAGCTTGACAGTACATTAATTTCATAAAACAAATATTTTATTCTCACTGGTGGAACTCTCAAAACTGGGTACAAAAATGGATGAAACAATCAGAAATTAATTAGAATTTCTTTCCTATATGTTTGTAGGCGGTATGCGGAATTACAAATGAATCAATATATCTGAAATGTCAGAGAAAATCCAACTAATATATTTGAATAAAATGGGTAACCTCTGCCCATACACATCTAATATATAACTTACGTTTTGTAAAATTTTTGATTTTCCTTTTTACAGGGAGAGTTGCCTGCTGCTGTGAATAGTGAAGAGTCATTGTGGACATTAGGTAACCATGGTAACAAGCTGTGTCAAATTTTTAAATGAGTCCGCACAATTTTTTGACACAACAAAATAATTTTCAACTATTGTCAATGTATTATTGTAAAAGTGAATATTAGTGAAAATAAATGGGCTATCTAAGAGCCATATAACATCTTTTTGGAAAGTGAATAAAAATCATGTTTTTTAGATGATAAATGGTTGATTATTAAACAGTTAAGTCACTTTTATGTCCATAAACCTTATGGAAGGGAAATGGTTCTTTCTGTAGGAGACACAAGTTTCGGAAGAAATCAAGACTTAAGATATCCCTATGTTATTACAGAAGATCGAAAGTTGGTAAGAATCTGCCTGGAGAAATGTGACAGGTCTGCAGAGAACTGTTGGAAGACGCTACTGCTTGGAGAATGCACCCCAGATGCCTGGACACTAGACCAGATGCAACGCAAGCTAACCTTACAGAGATTCCAATATGAGGTACATGTATGCATGTGACTGTGATCAATAACAAATGGGAAAGAAGTTTTGATCATTTAACATATTTTCACATGTTATCTATTGCAAGACTTATGCCTGGCACAACCGTTAATAAGTGTTTTTAAGTTTTGCAAGGATCCTGCCATGACCGTGGTATTGTTATCGTGAAAGCCTGGTGTAGATGATGAGAAAGAAGTTTTGATCATTTAACATTTTTTGATTGTTGCCCTATAAATTAATTACATTCTAAAGTGAGTTACTTCCTCTTTCAAAGGCTGTCTGATCTGGTAGAGCTATGACTGTATGAGATCAGTCAGCTTTTGAAAGAGGTTACAGCCATTCCATTCCTCCCTCAAATTTAATTGAACATTTATTAAAGTTTGAAAATCTATTTAAATTTTTGTAAATGTAATACTCACAAGGTGGAGTGAACTTTTTATTCCCCCATCCATGTATTTAGACAGAAAAACCCATTCAGGGCCAGATAAATAGATAGATGTCAGCACAAATCTGACCCATTCTTCTATTGGGAAATTTCACTTGATATGGATGCCTTGTTCTTGAGCTGAATTTGGCCTTCATTCTTTATTTCAGAATCCTGGTATGGACTTTAGCAATGCAGAGGTATCGGGGAACTATGCCAGCGGTGGTCCTAAGTTCCCATCCTGAGAAAGAATAGTATGGATTTGAGCTCAATACTACAGATTGTAATCTGCTATGGGATCCAGGATTCAGGATTCCCTACATGAATGAATCAGGCTAACCATTGTCTTGAAATGAACACACATATTCTGTGATTCTTCTCAAGAGCTATCAAAATCACTACACATGCATGACATGATAGTAAATATAATAAATATAAAGATACTGAAGAATAATTCACTTACTTGTATTTGCTTTGTGCACCTACATGTATAAGGAAAAGACAAGATTGATAGTGAACTTTATACATAAACAAATGTCTTAAAACCTAGGTTTCACATGTACATGTACAGGTGCTTTAATAAATGAGATAACTATCAATGAAATATTGTTCACCTTAATCTTTTGAATTGAAAAATCTTGAGCAATAGCATAGGATTTTCAATCTTTAACATTGCAAGAGTTTGATTCGAAACAATCTTAGAAAGTTTTAGATAGCAAGGAAAGTAATCCTGAAAGAATCAAAGTCACAGTTTAACTCTATTTTGAGAACAAAAATCATTTACATTAATTTAGTAAATTGTGATACATGATCAATGGGTGCTTGTTTTGAATGAGGGGTTGCTGTACCATAAGGTTTCTAGTAATTGTTTCTCTGTTATTCTGGATTTGGTTTTTTGTTAAGAGGTTTAGTCTTTATTGTGAGAATGTCAGTGTCAAGTTTATTGATGCAACAACATAGGATCTTAATGAAATACAAAGTCTCAAATGCAATGAGGTAAACACTAAATTGAGCTCTATTTTTCATTGGTTACACAAGTGAATTAGATAAAGATGAATCAAAATGGTAAAATGGTGTGTAAAATATTTTCTGTCTTGGTTTTCAGGAGATTTGACCCTTGGAACGATTAAATTAGCCTTGCCCAAGTCGGTTTCTTTTAATTATCTTGATTTCTATTATGACGGGCGGTAATAATTCAAGATCAGGTTAGTAAAAAAATACCGACTTGGGCAAGGCTACGATTAAATCAAAAGGGCATTAAAAATGTGACTAGGAATGTTGTGATTTCAAAATTTAGGATGTAAATGACTGGTGCAAGAAAGCAAGGCAAGGAATTTTAGTGCTCAGTTGTAGTTCTTAGTACTGAAAAAGGTTAGATTAATCATGAGCACGTGCTCTCTCAGAGACACGCATGAGCAAAGTAAAATAGGTGATTTGACATCTACCTGTATGTTGCATTTATCCCATGCTAACATCTTATATGTTTAGATTCTACCTTTTAGGATCACCAATGTGATTTGATCTCAATTTCAACATCATATTGGTGACTTTGAACTCCATATAAGCATAACTCTATTTTGAGAACAAAAATCATTTACATTAATTTAGTAAATTGTGATACATGATCAATGGGTGCTTGTTTTGAATGAGGGGTTGCTGTACCATAAGGTTTCTAGTAATTGTTTCTCTGTTATTCTGGATTTGGTTTTTTGTTAAGAGGTTTAGTCTTTATTGTGAGAATGTCAGTGTCAAGTTTATTGATGCAACAACATAGGATCTTAATGAAATACAAAGTCTCAAATGCAATGAGGTAAACACTAAATTGAGCTCTATTTTTCATTGGTTACACAAGTGAATTAGATAAAGATGAATCAAAATGGTAAAATGGTGTGTAAAATATTTTCTGTCTTGGTTTTCAGGAGATTTGACCCTTGGAACGATTAAATTAGCCTTGCCCAAGTCGGTTTCTTTTAATTATCTTGATTTCTATTATGACGGGCGGTATTAATTCAAGATCAGGTTAGTAAAAAAATACCGACTTGGGCAAAGTAAAATAGGTGATTTGACATCTACCTGTATGTTGCATTTATCCCATGCTAACATCTTATATGTTTAGATTCTACCTTTTAGGATCACCAATGTGATTTGATCTCAATTTCAACATCATATTGGTGACTTTGAACTCCATGTTATCATCTGCTCTGTTCCATTGATTTAACTTTTCTTGTTACCTCTTAAAGTGATGACTTTCTGTAATTATAACTGTCCCGCACAGTACAACTAAACTAGACCTTTGTGACAATGATCTCATCATTAACATCATTTATGTGACATTGATCACCATGGTGGCATCCCTATATGACAATGACCTCCATATCGTCAACATCATCAACAAGGACTATGTGATATTGATATTCATATCAAACTGACCCATGCCAATTGTTGTCCCTCAATCTCCGTCACATTGAGCTGTTGAGCTCCATGTTAACATAACCTATATAACATTGATATCCATGTAAATATTATTTTAATATTATATTAGTGGAACACCTTTGGTACCTTTAAAAGGTGTTCTACAGGGTGACCGGAAAAAGGAGACCACTGAAGTAGGTAATATCGCCTAAACTAGGCAAGTGACATTGATGAAATTTTGCACATACCAGGACAGTTCTATGGAAATTTAATGTTCCTGAAAGTTTCAATATAACCAGTCAACTGGTTCAGAAACTGTTCATTCACATGACATGCTCCAAATGGCCGCAATTACTCAGATGCGAGTTGGTAGTTACCAATTTTGTCACCAGCTGGCTAATTCGGGGAAATAACATGGCCGGGTATTACAAAGCTCCCTTAAACTTGAATAATCATCAGTTTTAGTGGTTCACTTTTCATATTACCCTTATGTATCTGATTGTTATACAAACTAAAGAGACTCTGTTGAAGAAAAATGACACTTTGATAACATTGTAGCCTTGCCCCAAGTCGGTCTCTTTTACTTATCTTGATTTCTATTATGACCGCCTTGTACCAAAGAGAAAGCCACGTGCTTTACCGACAGTTTGTTTATGTCGGTGATTTTGACCAATAGCACGCGATCTTTCAATGTCTAAATTTAGGTTACAAACACACGAGGTAATAAAGTTGTTGATTTTGCTCCAATCAGCAAGTTAGTCTCGGAATCTTTGATATTGGCATTGTGGGAAGTCCTACCTCGCTTTACTTTCATCAGCTGGCAAAACTGAAAATGACCCTCGCAAAATCGATAAACGTTTTATTTGCTAAATATAATTGAAAGTAATTTGAATGTAATGAACCGATTTAATATCAGAAAGTTGATGACTGATCAGTTCACATATAAACACTTATAGTTATGCTGTGAAAAGGATAATGAAAAGATATTATGTTTCTGGTGAATGCGTTTTATTTGTAAGGTGGATACCTGGATTTGCAGACTGCAAGCATGCCGCATATAACTTCACAATCGCATGGTGAACACGTGGATTTATTTATTGATTTTTGTGTATGACTACCGCTATTGGCTAATGCTATAGGGCACGCAAGAGGAGGGAAAGCCCCAGAGTTTCAAGATGACAGACATAATTACCTCTCTTGCTTACCACCTTCGTTCGTTCGAATTTTCATCGGCTAGTTATCAAATACTACACTTCGATGGGATGTTATAATTGATATAGGCATATTCCGTACACCTTTCTTTATCTTGATGTGAAATGAGAAGCTATGATATTGGTTAACACGCCAGAAATGAACATAATATTATTCGAAGCGTATTTCGAAAATTTTGAAACCGCCATTGATGACGTCATTTGTTTGTCGACTTTTGACCAATCAGCGACCGTGTCATCTCAATACAGATTTACATTATAAGCGTATGTCATCTTTGAACCCTGGTGTTTCCCCCCCTCTGAGGGCACGCGTACTAGTTGGTGCATAATTTATCATAATAACAGTGGAGATGTATCGGATTACACAAGGCGGTAATAATTCAAGATCAGATAAAGTAAAAAATACCGACTTGGGGCAAGGCTAATAACATTGGGTAAGACTACAATATAAGCCAAAGTGGTTTAAAGGTGCTACAAATAGTGCAGGGGGGCCATTCAACGATCATCGACAAGTGTCAAAATATATTTAGGTTTGGATATTTCATCAAGACTAACATATATTTTCATTATCTACAAAGAAACCCTCTGGATGAACATTATTTCAGCTGATATTCCTCTTGAAACATGGTGGATCTTAAAAATCTATAAGTGGGACTCCCTTTATAGAAGCTTTGAATTGAATTTACACTTCTTAATGCTGAAATTGATAGTTTATACATACATTTTATGAAAATAGGTATGTCAAAGAAGGTATTAAGCCAAATATTGACCTCATAGCTCAGAAAAAATAAAAATTTTCGAATTTTCTCTCTACAGTCCTTATTGCCTCTTTAAACTTTATATGGGGCCTTTAAAGACTCCATAAAATTCACAATAAAATCAGTGAAACCACATAAAATTCAAAATCTCCAAGTATTTAAAGTGAAAAGGTGTTATATAAAGTGATTGCATGAAAACATTTGAAACATCTTGATAAGCACATAATGCTTGCAACTATATTCTGGCAATTCAATCAGGCAAGGCCTGATGCAAAAAATAGTATCCGTCGGATACATAAGGGTTATGTACTGGGAGGTTTTGGATATGGGGTTTATCCAGAGGGAGATATGCATTTCTACCCGAGGGACCGTAGGGACCGAAGGTAGATGTGCATATCTCACGAGGGATGAACCCTTGTTTTTTTTTGTTTTTTTTCCCTTTATTTCACTATATTTTTTACAGTTACAGCATAAATACATATTCATAATAAGGGATTTGAAAATGGTTAATACTATAAGGGTGCAAGTATCTCAAAACAATCACAAATTATATAAAGTATCATTGTTATCCTATGCTGCATTTAGGGTTGCCCTATGTAACTGGAGATCCAGAAACAACTTGGCGGTCATAAATGCCTCAGATAAAAATTCACTGTGCACAATTTGCTAAATACTAATCATTAATGGTAGAAATAAAACCTTAACCCCTTTACCTAAATTAAAGCTGGTCAGAGCAAAGTGTTAAACTTCATGTAATATTTCATTAAAATTCACTTTATCTGTAGAGTTAAATACATTTTTCATTATCATAAAATTTGGAGCTGGTTAATAATATGAGGGTGCAAGTATCTCAAAACAATCACAAATTATATAAAGTATCATTGTTATCCTATGCTGCATTTAGGGTTGCCCTATGTAACTGGAGATCCAGAAACAACTTGGCGGTCATAAATGCCTCAGATAAAAATTCACTGTGCACAATTTGCTAAATACTAATCATTATCCCACCGAACGAAGTTCGAGGGGGATATAGAGAAGCCGTCCGTCCGTCCGTCCGTCCGTTCGTCCGTCCGTCCGTCCGTTCTTCCGTCCGTTCGTCCGTCCGTCCGTGTGTCCGGGCAATAACTCAAATACCGGTTGACGGATTTCATTCAAATTTTATAGGCTTATGCCTTATGAGTGTAGGACCTCTGCTCGAGAAGGAATTTTCAATATGGCCGCTTAATTCAAAATGGCGGCCATTTTTCGGAAAAAATGTAATCTTTAATAACTCAAATACTAGTGGATGGATTTGGTTCACATTTTATATGCTGTTGCCTTGGTACAAAGGAGCCTTGCTCAAGAAGACATTTTCAAGATGGCCACCAAATTTCAAAATGGCGGACATTTTTCGTAAAAAAACATTATCTTTGATAACTCAAATACCATTGAATGGATTTGGTTTAAATTTTATATGCTGATGCCTAGGGACATAGGAGCTCTGCTCAAGAAAGGATTTTCAAGATGGCAGCTAAATTTCAAAATGGCGGCCATTTTTCCTAAAAAAAACATTATCTTTGATAACTCAATTACCATTGAATGGATTTGGTTCAAATTTTACATGATGATGCCTAGGGACATAGGAGCTCTGCTCGAGAAGGGATATTCAAGGTGGTAGCTAAATTTCAAAATGGCCGCCATTTTTCATAAAAGAAGGTAACCTTTGATAACTCAAATACCAGTTGACGGATTTTGTTCAAATTCTATATGCTGATGCCTAGAGACAAAGAAGATCTGCTCAAAAATAAATTTTCAAGATGACCACTGAATTTCAAAATGGCCGCCATTTTTCGTAAAAAAACCTAATTAATGATAAATCAAATACTAGTGGATGGATTTGGTTCCAATTTTATATGCTGATGTTTAGGGAAAAAGGAGATCTGCTTCAGAAGAAATTTCAAAGGCGATAGCTGAATTTCAAAATGGCAGCCGTTTTTCATTAAAAAAGTAATCTTTGATAACCCAGATACCATTGGACGGACATTCTCTGATAAAGAAGAAATCTAAAGATGACAGCTGAATTTCAAAATGGCAACCATAAAGACATAATCTTTGATAATTCAAATACCAGTGGATGTATTTGGCTCAATTTTTTTTATCAAAACATGTTTTGTTCGGTGGGATTTGCTACTCCGTGGAGTTGCTGTTTTTCTAGTTAATGGTAGAAATAAAACGTTAACCCCTTAACCTAAATTAAAGCTGGTCAGAGCAAAGTGTTAAACTTCATGTAATAATTCATTAAAATTCACTTTATCTGTAGAGTTAAATACATTTTTAATTATCATAAAAGGACGATTCTCGGTTTGGAGAACAGTCTCCTGGGCAAATAATTTTTTTCATGAAAAATATAGAAATATTACCCAAATTAAACTATGAATATTCAAAAGAGGACATTTAGATCTACAAGATGTAAAGATAACAAATTGGTCTGAAGCAGGGATAATGCTCAAATAGACCGAATCAATATAAATACAAGTCTCGATTCGGGGAAAGAAGTCCATCAGTGTACTGAGCTAATACTTTTTTGCGAAAAATCTAGAAATATTACCCAAATTAAATTATTACTATTCAAAAGAAGACATTCAAATCTATATTATGTAAAAAAAATCAAATTTGTCCGAAGCAGGGATAATGCTCATTTAGATTGATGAACTTCGTTCTCCAAACCGAGAATCGTCCTTTGGAGCTGGTTAATAATATGAGGGTGCAAGTATCTCAAAACAATCACAAATTATATAAAGTATCATTGTTATCCTATGCTGCATTTAGGGTTGCCCTATGTAACTGGAGATGAGGGATGAACCCAATATCCAAACCGACCGTACATAACTGCTTTATCCTATACCAAGTAGAGTTTTCAGGGGCATATGGCCATTTCAATAATACAAGGTGTAAAAATAAACAAATCATTCATATGCAAAGTCATTTTATTGCATTTCCACTACTTACCGGAAGCGGGAAGATATGCACCGAAGCGGGAGATATGGAGGTTCTGGATATGGAAACATCAAAATCAGGATACGGGATATATCTTACCAACTCTCCCTAAAACTCTACTTGGCATAGGATAAGATTGGATATCACGTCATATGGAACGGATACGATTTTAGTGGTGCATACCAAAATCATGTTGTGTTGTTATCCCCGCATATAATATATTTAGTATCCATGGGATAAAGAAACATTATCAAAGCGAATCAATATTGCGGAGTTGGTATACGAGTACAAGAACGTTTTTGATAAAGCTTTCTAACATTCAGTCTAACCAATTTTCTATATCTAAATAAAAACTCATATATTTTCGAAACTGGGATGTAAATTAATATAAGTTGCCCGAAAATGTTTCATTTATAAAGTTACTCACTCAATGACCAACGTGGACGCTTTAATAGCCTGTATTCATTGAATCATAGGTATGTGGATTAAACTCACACCATTCGTAGAAATTATATTATAAAGGATTTGATAAAAACCCACAGAGAAACACGTGTCGGTAGTTTTATGTTACGGGGCATTACGTTTGTGTTACGTTAAACGCCAGTGTTATGTGACATCACCTTTTATGATATTTTTGTTTCTTCCAGCCTTACGGGGACACCCCTTCACGCAAATCATTTTACGATGGCCTGCTATCAGGTTGCATTCCAGTGATCTTCACAAACCACTCAGCGTATTATCCGTTCATGGAAATGCAACACACCGGGTTCCCATACCCATATCATACATTTACTATTTTGCTCAATGAAAAGGACATTATGGAAAATAAACGTTCTGTTTTGAAGCTCTTGGATGATATACCAACAGAAAGAATAAGGAAGATGCAGGAAAGAATGATCGAAATAGGAAAATATTTCCAGTATGGTTTCTACGATGATGATGATGATGCCTTCACGCTGACGATTCAAAACGTCTTGAACAAATTTAATATTAAAAATAAAACTAGCCACAGTTAACATGGTTAACTTGTTCATTATGTGGCTCAAGAAACTTTAATAATTCGAGTCGTTTCGGGAAATGCCCAGGACATGTCAAATACATGTATAGACAGAAAGAATGAATGCTGGTATAACCTCATCAGAATAGCAGTTTAAATGTACAACTTAAGTTTGCCAATTGCTGAACCGAAGGACGGACATTTGGGCAATCCTATTGATGAAAAAGTTATAATGAAAATCGATCATCAGGCTAAAATTTGAAGCGATGACATCCCGTATATCATCCGAGTGGTAGACTAGTCTTGCGCTGATCCCCAAATTCTAAGACAGAAAATATCAGTGTGTATAGTATGGGTTTGATCCAATACTAGCGTTTTACATGAACACTTTCAATAGATTGATTATTACACCATTTCTTCAATTGTTTTTTCAATCCAGGCGTTGTACATAAATACATTGGTATAGACTGTGGGGTTGTCCATGAGGCCACACCGTAATCCACTTCCCCAGCTTACCAGCCCCACCATATGGTACTGCCCTGTCTGTCTGTTCTTACAAACTAATGGTCCTCCCCCATCTCCCTAAATTAGAAAATGCATAAAATTAGGAGGTTGAAAAAGGATAAAACAGTCACAGTCATTTATAAGTATAGCTCACTCCTTGACATTTCTTTTTAAAAACACCAGGAATTCTGACTTGATTTCGTGAAAATTAATACAGGCAGTGTATTGGTAGAAAAGGATTGAGAAAATTGAAACAAGTGGTAAAAATGTTTTTCCGTACAGTACAGGTATCATGGTCACCCATAAAGTAACCGGCGCAGAACATATTCTTGGTAATTGCTCCGTTATATCGATGTCGTTTGTTACAGTCAGACGTTTTTAGAATCGGCAATTTCACCTGTCGAAGCGTTTCTCTGCTTGGCTCATCAGGTTCTAAATATGATAATTAAGAAAATGAAAAAAGTCACAGGCAGTTGAAGAACATAAGTTTTCGGTAAATTCATAAGGAGGTGCTCATAATTTGGACACACTGTATTTTCGCCTAAAGAGAGTTTTCAATTTCATTTTCGGAATGCAATTTTAAAGTAAAATTTGAAAAAACACACACCACTCGTGTTCCTTGATACATATTATGTTAAATGTACAAAAATGCATTATTTAGACTTGACATTTTACTACATGTAGAAAAGTATAACTTATCATAAGATTTCCCTACCTTGTGTGACACCCCATCCCGTCACAACGCACACTGTCTTGGATTTTGGCGTAGCATCTGGCAGGCACACGGGCCTTATCTCATTTGTATAAGAAACTCTCCTTTCTAATTTGACTATGGCAATGTCATTATCATACTTCGAACTATAGTCTTGATGAAGGACAATGGATTTTATTTTTACTTTTGTCGATTCGTTCAGTGATATATTGTGTGCTCCTACAACCACACTGACTGTATCGATGTTATGCCTAAAAGCATGGAATTATACAGGGTGGTCAAAAAACGTAAACCCTGTCGCTATTTTCCTAATATCTTTGTCATTTTAGGGAATAACTCCCTGCAGTGATATATGGCACATTTGTGCGTCGTTCAATTACCCAAATGCGAGTAGGTAGTTACCAGTTTCACCAACAGGTGGCTGATTCTGGTCAATTAACATGGCAGGTATATAAGAAAGTTCCCTTAAACTTGAATATTATCAATTTAAGTGGCTCAATTTTAATATAACCCTTATGTGTCTGATACTTATACCAATGAAAATATGTCCAGTAAAGCAAAATATTATCTGTCCACTAAAAGAAAAGATATTTCATTTTTTGTGATTTTATAGCATGGGGTCTATGGGGAATCTCCCCGAGCTAGAAGTCACCTTTTCAAAGAAAATTAATTTTTCAAAGTTGATAAACACTTTTTAAAACCACATTTCTAGAAGTAATTTTACATGTAGATTTCAAATATGATATTACTTTGACTGAATTTTGAATTTTTAATGACGTAAATCAGGATTATTTCTACTCGCATCTGGGTTATTTCCCACCAGCCTGCCATATTTCATGACAATCAGACATCATCATTTTTGACCACCCTGTAATTATATCATCCAGCTTGTGGTATCTGTCGCAGGGAAACAAATTGCCATTATTCCAAATGATATATTACACACAACGAAACGATATTCAGCATCACATCCACTCAACATTCGTCAGTCAAGAAAACAATTCAAAAATAGAACAGCATGTGACGCTTCAATCTTCGACTGAGTTTCATCAATCTCTAAGATTACCGATTACATAAACATCTAAGAAAGATGAAGAAAGATGTTTTCCCCAGGTAATGGTGCTGACGATAACAACCCAAATCTGGGAACACGATTATGGATCCCTGAATAACGCCAGGGTATATTTAATATCTCGATTGTGAAACTTTGAAATCATCAACTTTTAACAGGGGAAATTTTCTAATAAAGACTATTGATTAGTTTTCTTTTTCTCATGGTTGCTATAGTAACATGAAAGTAAATAGTTCTACTACCTACAACTTTCATTGAAGTTAGTATCTTAGTTAAATTGTTAAGTAATTAAACGTAGGATTCAATGAATTGTGGATAATTCAATCCACGAATGTGTTGTTTCTAGACCTTTGCACGAGTGCGACAGCACTCGGAAACAACGCATGGGTGAAATAAATCATCCACCATTCATTGAGTCGCGTATTTTAACTTATCATCACTAAAGAAAATGATTTTTTGCAAGGAAACTTTTCTGCAAGGATGAATTTGGTGAAGCTTTCTATCAGTCGATCACGCTATAAATCGAACTAAATGTTGTCACTTTATCAACTTAAACGTTTAACTTAATAATTCATTAAATCATCAAAATTGAATCACCAGAATCAACATATGTAATACACTTCCTGTCTATTGAGAATCACAAGGAGGATTGGCTCTCAGGGTTCCGACTCTGCCATATATGGAGTCGTGTCGTTAAAAATTCAAAACTATTACAGCCGCCATTTTTCACTTTCGAATTTGCCATTCAGAATATTACCGCCTGCGTTTCCTTATCAGAGACAGATACTCCCAAGGATAATTGGCAGCCATTATTCAAACTTGATATTCTTTGCCTGGCGTGGAACAATTTAAGTACAAATATTTCTATAAGGTTCTCCGGATCAAGTACTTCGTTGGAAAATGGACATTACGAATATGATGGTAATATTCAAGCTTCCCTGACAGTTCTAGTCTTCAAAAGATGAGTAATACGTATTGTTACTAAATTGATTTATACGCTGGGCAACGGAGTATCAAATTTGAATAACAGCTTCCAATCCTCCTTGAGATACTCACGACAGTATCCGTTTTGCGACGGTTGCTGAGGTTATGACAATATCAGGTTTATACAATGAGCCTGCGCCACTGAAATCATCAAAGTGCACCACCCAGGGCCAACTATGGGGAACAGCCTCGATGCCGCCTACAATTCTCTTACGCCTTGTCACCTCTCTTCTTCCTAATCTGCTTTTTGATGCAAATTGTGGCTTGAAGACCTGTGTACCACATGCTACAGACCCCGTCGGTACTGAAAATACAAAAATAACACTAGTCATGGTGTTACTGGTCAGCTAATCAAATGACTCAGCCCTGTTTCAGGTGAAACAGAAAGATGCTATGAATATCAGAATGGCATTTGGATGACACGAGAACACTAGAACAACCAATAAAAGAGCTAAATACTCGTAGACGTGAGTGTCGTCTGCTTCGTTTTTGAATCGAGTGGGGTCGTTGGAGTCGAAGTAGCGACTGTATTAACATTCCCTCCGCTCTCCAATTGTTCCAATGTATTTTCTATCCAATCTAGGTAGTAGGAAACATTTGTGTATGCACCGAAGGATTCCCCACAATTAATTTGTCCAAAACTTGTGATGCCACTCAGTTTGTATATTGGCACATCATCGAATGTACAAACCAATGGTCCTCCGCTATCCCCCTTCAAGTAAATCACAAACGACGTCACTTAGAGTACAAAATGTTTCTTTTGAACGGGGTGTATATTATTTTGCTAATAAATGACTTACAATGGCTGCCTGATTTTGTTGGTCAACGATGTATCAGATTGACGCTAACATGAATCTTGACAAAATATAGATACAGACAAGTTTTTTAAATGTACCTGACAGGTATCCTTCCCCAGTGAATACGACCCGGCACATGTCATGTATGCTGTGTTGATATGCTCAGGCAACATTTTCTGACATCGCTCAATGTTTAACATCGGAAGGTATGCCTGCATCAATACATCACTTCTCACATGCTTTTCTAGAATAGATGGAGTGGGTGATCCTCGTGTTGCTCTGTTATTTACAGGGTGGTCACAAAACGATAAAACAACATTTTCTTCATATCTTTGTCATTTTAGTGACTTAGTCCCCGATATTTTACACGTTTATAAATCATTTAATTCCCTATAAGCCTACAAGATGTCATGGCCATTTAACTGATTGTCACAATGTTACAGCACTTTGAACAACAAGCTCCAGGTGTGGCTATCATTGCGCTGTATGTAAACCTGTGCAAGTTGTCAATTTACCCAACTGCATTCCTAAGCAAGTATGGTCTGAATGACAAGGATGGTCTCCCTTTTGAAATCTGCAATTATCCTAATGCAAATCTTGTACACTCCACCTTTGGCGTATCCCCAGAGGTAGAAGTCAGGTATGTACATTTTGGACGACACATACAGGTTTGCCTACACGGTCAAGCCAAGTAACTTAGTCAACATTCGATATTCGTATGTTCATCAGTATTAACTAAGAATGGTGCCACAATTGAAGTAAACCTCTGTTTAATTATTTTCAATAAACCTATCAGCAAACGTGTAAATGATAAATTTGATGTTCTGTTACATATTGGTGAAGCAGTCTTTGGGATATGGCCTAAATTTCTGAATTTCCACTATGTCCCTGTATACCCCTACTTAAGAAGATGTATGTTATTTGTCATTTTTCATTATGAATCAACCATAAATGTATTTTTTCTTGTTTACATACAGAATGAACTTTTTGTTTCCAAATATTGAAAGATGGTACTGCATTTATTTTCTCATGATATGGAGGAAACAAATGCGTGTCAATTTACACTGTAATATCCCACATACTTAATTTTCAAGGGTAGTTTTGAAGAATAATCAAGAAAATCCATGTTTTCTAATGAATTCATCCTTGCCAAAGAACGTAGATGAGGATATGCGGTTTGAAAAACTAACAACATGTTTTAAGTTCTTACAATTCTTGTTTAAAACAAACATTTCGAAAGTTGTGATTTCGAATGTAATATCCAACTCAATGAAAGGAGCACGTGGGTTATCGCAAACAATTTCAGAAGGTTATATCTTGGATTATGACTATTTTCTGACAATGAAGACAAGTTTATCTTTTAGATCAATTCATTATCTAAAAAAAAATTATGCACAGTAATAATAAATTCAAACAAACTCGGAGATATTTAACTAGCAATTAACCCATCAACACACTTTTTGACCCCATTTTGAAGATGTTGACCCCATTTTCACCAAAAATGCAATCACTTTTTACAATGTTTAATGCATTGCTATTCTTTATTTTGATGTATCAAACAGTTCTTGAAAGAAAAACTTAATTGCATTAAGATAAGTGTTCCCCATGTTATTTCTCCATTGAAAAATCTCATGCTATCCATTGGTTTCAGTTCATTTTGGTCATCCAAATTGAATATCTTTAAAGTCCCTTGAGCAATCAAATTTTCCTTTTAGGAAATCGAACATGTCTCAAAGCACATTCTAATTATGCATTCAACAATATAATAATAGGTTGCATTTTTGGTGAAAATTAGGTCAACATTTTTGAAAAAGTATGTTGATTGGTCCATTGCCCCTTCAATATCACTTAGGTCCAATTAACTGAATTATCATTATATATACTTTTCTTGAAGATAATGAATGGATCTAAAAGATACACCCATGTTCATGATCAGAAAATATTCATAATTCAAGTAAGAATCGTTTGAAATTGTTTGCGATAACCTACGTGCTCCTTTGTTGATATTTGTGAATTTTTTCTTTCGGAATGCACATTGCTGGATCACAGAACCTTGCCTTGTTCGAGATGCACAGAAAGGGTATTGTTAATACTTGACGTCGTTCGGATATTCGGATGTGATTCACGTTTTCGTTAATCTCCAACCACTGTAACTTCCAACTTAATTTTTGAAAGCCAAAAATGATAGTCATGAATCGATATTTAAGTCACACGTGGATGCATACATCATGTATCTACATTAACTGTCGAATACATGCCAACTTACATTTATTTAAATATACACAGTTAACTCAAATCATCAATCCCGGAACGGTTTATCATATAACCTGACCTGAGTTTTATGTTTCATTTTAATTTATAATTATGGTATCGGATTTGAGTATGATTTTAGTTGAGGCTTAAACAAAGCAATAAAATTGCGTGAAACCTTTTGTGAAAATTCGAACGATTTTTCAAGAATCCTCCTTCAAAGTGTTACCACAGTGCTCCCCGGGAGTGGAAATTTCGTCTAGTGTAATCAAAATAATAGCGGGTTGTTTGAATTTTTGTTTGAGTTTATAGCTCAGCATCTATAAATTTAAAAACGTGTCGCCTCATTGAGAGGTACATGCAGATTTTGGCGATCTATCTTTATAAAAGGCTAAATTTTGAGCAAAAACAGGAGTTGACACGCTTACATATGGAATTGAAATTTCCTACACAATTGTCGACTCATGTTTAAAAGTCATGGAAACAAGGTTGAACACAAAATAATAACCCAGTTACTGTCTATTTAGCATGGGATCACTGAGGGAAATTTTATTAATGACTTAAATCGTTAACAGTTAAGTTGTATTCCAAGAAACTTATCAATTTAGAAATGCAAAATGTTCAATTTTGTTTTTCAATTATAAAAAATGGCACCTGTAGAGAACAACGTTTACAAAATTATTTAAACCGGAGATATTAACTTATGTTACATTCGTTGGCATGTGTCAGGGAGTAAATAAGAAGAATGTGCATTTGATTCTATATCTTGTTCCCAAAGGAGTTTGTTAAGGAGCGGTATATCTTAACGTACTTTTATCATCCCGAACTCAAATATTTCGAATCCTTATTTCGACAACGCTTTGTTGAGAATGGATTCAAGATGTACTCAAAATTAATACGTTAAAAGATGTATTATCATCTTAATAACCACCTCACAAATTATTTTGGAAATCAAAGATGTACGATTTTTGAGATTTTTATTTTCGAATGTTGACTTAGTTACTTGGCTTGACTGTACAGTGAAATAGTGGCCGCATGTAGTGCTGTAACATTGTGACTGTCAGTCTAACGGTTGTGAAATATAGGAACGTAGGAAATTGAATGTTGTACAAATGTTCCAAATAAGGAGTAATCTTTTAAAATAGGAAAGGAAATGAGGAAAATAGGGGCAGGATTGGTGTTTTTACTACCTTGTACATTCGCTTTTTAATATTCTTCTAGAATTTAAATCGACCACAAAAGTACCTGTTTTACCCCATCCAGTAGCAATACAGTTTCCATTTTCAACAGGGGACTGATCAGCCAAACAACACGGCTGTATGTGTTTGTTGTATTGCACAGAACCATTAAGTTTAACAATGGCAATATCATGGTTAAAGCCTCTGGCGCGGCGATCTCTGTGTTCTTCATCATAAATTGGATGAATATATATTTCTTCTATTGAAAATTTTTGTTCTGATGAAGTTGGTTTACTTCGTGCATGAGAGCCAAGATAAACATCGTATATTCTCCTAAAAATGAGATTTTAGAGAGATTCTTTAAAAAGTTAAACATTAGTTTGTGATTGCTTAGACTTAAATCTGAAAGAACTGAGAAAATCCGATAATTATAACACTCCTCTACTTTTTATAATTTTTGTGCAACTGCAAACCTAGAGGAGGGAACCCCCAGAGCTTTGGCGATTACAGACATATTACATCTCTTGCGTACCACCTTCAATTCGTTTGCGCAAATTCTCACCAGTTAGTTATATATATATAACGCGTCGTTGTGATGTTTTAATCGATGTCAGCATATTCCTTCCATCTTTGTTTATCTTGATGTGAAATAACAAGCTATGATATTGGTTAACACGCCAGAAATTAACATAATATGATTCGAAGTGTTATTAGAAAATTTTGAATCCGCCATTTTTGTTTGCCGATTTGGACCAATCAGGACGGTGGGTCATCTCAATACAGATGTACATCAAGGAGGATTGGCTCCCAGAGTGCACCACCGATATTCTGTCCCATATATGGGTATGTCGTAATACAAAATTCGAATTCAAACAGCCGCCATTTTGTTCACTTCAACATTTAAATCGTGAATTTTGGTCTTATTTCCAAACGAAAAATTCCAAAACTCACAAGAAATGATCGAGATATTGGTTCGAATCTTTTGAACTGTTTATTTTGAATTTATAGTCGGTTTTAATTTCAGAAAATAACGACATTTCGACGTTTTCATTGTTGGAAAATATCGAGTTTCGATCCTGGGAGCCAATCCTCCTTGGATGTACATGATAGACGTAGGCTACGTCATCTTTGAACCCTGGGGTTTCCCCCTCTTTGCAAACCTTGTGGCAATTCTCCATGGGGCTTGGGGTATAATTAATTAATCATAAAAGGAGGAGGGAAGTTAGCGCAACAGATTTTGGACAATCATATGTTGGATTTCGGCCATTTCCTGGGGATTTAAACAGGTGCATATGTTAGGCGAATGTTTCACCTCCAGGAAAATCACTTCTAGAGATGATAAAATAATTTTGACTTTGAGACAGGGTAGATGCAAACAACCCACCCACATGTTTTTTCTGAAATGTTTTCCTGATTTTCAACCCCTTCCATCCTTTCTTTTTTAATTTTTCTTGCATCAATATGTTGCGTTTTGACACACAGTTGATCCCTTAAAAGGAATAAATGATTCCATTTAGATAAAGTGGAAAACAATATTTCCCATGTTATTTTCCCATAGGAAAAATCATTGCTTTCAGCTAAGATTGGTCACCCATAATGGGTATCTTTAAAACCCCTGAAGGAATCACTTATTCCTTTAAAGTGGTTAACTATGTGTCAAAATGCAACATATTGATGCAAGAAAAATTAAAAAAGCAGGGATGGAAGGGGTCGAAAAATAGGAAAACATTTCAGAAAAATCATGTGGGTGGGTTGTTTGCATCTAACCTGTCTCAAAGTCGAAATTATTATATCATCTCTAGAAGTGATTTTCTTGGAGGTATTGCATTGGTCTAACATATGCAATTGTTTAAATCCTCAGAAAATGGCCAAAATCCAACATATGACTGTACAAAATCTGTTGCGCTAATTTCCCTCCTCCTTTGAATAACAAATATCATGATCAACAATAAAGATCTTTATGTGGATTGATGAAAAAACTTTCTCAACGATGTAGACAAGCTAGTACGAAGTATTTTTTAAATCATAGAAGCTAGCTTTCTAATATCGCATTGTATTGCACTCGACATCAAATCGTTGGTAACACAAATTTCATAATACTTGTTCTGTTTATGTTTGTCATTTTCCGACCTATCGTAATGAAAAATAAGTAAATTATGACTCGGCTTTGATCAATCGAAAAGCCATGGTTGCCTAACTTGTACAGGAAAGTGGCCAGCCCTTAAGGCGGAATGTACATACTACATACGTGTCTATTGGACGAACGAAACAATGAGCCGCTGACACAACGATATTTGGTTTCAGTAGTGTTCCTCCACACCAATGGTTCCCATATTTGTCGAACCTCACCATCCATGGCCAGCTATGCGGAGTCGCCTCTTCACCTCGGTGTATCTTTGCTACAATTGCACGTGGTTTAACAGCTTGTATGCTACAGTTTTTTTCGCATTCTGAAGCATGAAAGGAGACCATTTTCAATTAGAAATCTATTTCTAAAAAGAAGAGAGTGAAAAATAATTTAAAAAAGTATACCAATGTTTCCCCACAATACTTATTTTATTTTTTGAAAAATAATTGAGACAGCTGATCAAAATTTGAGTTTGTTTTGCAGATAAACTTAAATTAGGTAGGCACTAGGCAGATATGATGAATGGATTATCCTGAAAAAAAGTCAAAACTGTTGAATTTTTTGTGTAAATATATTGAAAGATTACTAACACTCAATTTATCTCTATTCATCCATTGTGTTCCTTTATTAAGCTAAGGATAAACCATGTATGAGTACTGGGTTTTAGGAGGAATATTAGCCAAAATGCCTTGGCCCCGAGGCTATTAGTTCTCATAAGACTCAGTACGAATGGTTTATCTAACTTAAACCCCACTCTTATGAAAGGTAAATGGCCCATGATCTAATTTTAGAATTTTTTTTATTTCTTTTGTATTTACTATGACGTCGGTGTGTTAAGAAGTGAGTTGGTGTAATTAGTCTAGCTTCAATGCACTGCGTTGACAGGCCAGGTACAGTTTACAATTTGATTTATTTCGTGTTAACTATTCGACTATTGAATGAGTGAATAGGGTGTAATTATTTCAGTTTTAGTGCATTGCATGTGACAGTTAATCGTCTTTGGTGCCACATTGGTTTTGGATAGCTAGCCAAGCATCGTAAATTCTTCAAAAACAATAGAAAATGCATTCTTCTTTGTTATAGCTGTATAGTCTTTAAAATAAACTACATAGTTCATTCTACTGTGTTGCATAATGAGCCTATATGATCTTATCATTTTGATTTAAATTTCTCACCATAAAACAAATACATTTCATCAACCAATCGGAATTCTCCAATATCCTTAGTCTTCTGTTGTATCCCAATTTTCAGTTTTTCAAGCGCTCTCATATCCTTTAAAATTTTCCTCCAAGCGTTCCTTTGCTTTTTTGATTTTTTACTTTGTAATCCATCCATGTATAAATTTACACGTAACTTGGTTTCTGTCAAAATTTTCCCCTCAAATATATTAAGTCGTCCTTCATTCTGTCCATTGATTAAATCACGTAAGATATCGGCAGGATTCAATTCTGAGGACTCACTCACACCAGGCTTGCGTTGAACTACCTTCAGTCGTTTATTGATCGACTTGAGATGTTTTGACCGGATTTTGTCTAACTTATTAAAGAACTTAATGGCGTCTTTCACGAGCTCTTCGAATGCTTCAAGTTTTGTTGTGACAAACGATTCACTCATATTATCGAGGATTGCTCTTGTTGTGTTTTCAAGCTCCTCTAATATTTTTATGATATTAACCCTTTGTTTATACTTAACTGTGCCATCCGTAGATGGCTTGCCATTTTCAGAAGCCTCACTTTCTTCTTGAGATATTTCACTTGGGTAATTTTTAATGATCCTTCCACGGATAACATGTATTTGTTTATACTGAGATCTGATATGGTTCTTAAATTCGGAGGTGGAGCTGCATGTGGAAGCACTCAGAACGACACTATCTGCATCCGTGGGTAACGACATACCAGAAAGTAGTATGACAATCATCAATTCTGAAAACAAAATTTATATATTAAATTTTTGACAAGCGCCATTAATGAACTATTGTATTTTCCACAGTTTTCTGGTTCTGTTGTTTAGGACTTTATTAAACCTACCTATATCATAAGCAAACGCCATGTTTGTCTATACTCAGACTTCTCTTTATTCAATACAGTTATTTGGAAAAATATACAAATAAATGATAACGAAATTAACATTTAATGTTGGATCTACAATGCTTTGATGACATGGTAAAATATATAAAAACAGTAGATTGAGCTCGAATGTTAGATTGATCACATGATATATTGAAATTGCCTTTTTCACTCATTGTCATTTAACAAGGCAAACAATGTGCAGTGTTTATTCACCTGCTGTATCGAAGTGTTCATTCATTGTATTAATGATTATTGGTTTAACAATAGTCGGCAAAATAATTTTTATAGGTCTACTATCTATACGTGCTGAGACATCATGAGTATGATTAAGCTTGAATGTGTAATTTACATAATAAACATGTTGGAAATTATTGATCTTAGTTTAACAACTGTTGATTGTAGTTTATTTCAGTTAATCAAGTCGCTTAAAGGCTTAAAAAGATAAGTGTCACCGCTGAATCCGGTTTATATGAGGTGTGACTTCGAAAAAATGACAAGAAGATATCGTCATATCTAAGAATGGCCTATTTACACAAAAACCAAGAGTTTCATTGGTGTCAATGCAGATCGATGTCTGGGCCGAAAAAGATTAAGCGCACAAAAGAATTTACAAATCGAACGCGAAAGTATTTGCAAATCGAACGCAATGTAAGTCTGAAGTTTACTGTTTATGTGAAAGATGATGTGAAATCAGTGAACAAAATTGACCAATCACATTTCAAGATTCATGAGTGAATAAATGAGTTTTACTTCACCGTGAATCATAAAAGCAATTGTTGAAGAAAGTTGTTCCATTCCAAATTCATTTTCAGTGGAGTCAGTTGTGTAAAAAGGTAAGTGGCTAGTTTATCTAATATTAACCACGTGCACATTTTGTTTTAGCGTATACAGGAACAGTTTGATTTCTCATTTCAATATCTGGTCCGATATCTTCGTTCAGTTCCATTTGTTGTATTGGCTATACAGCTTTGCTATAATGATATTGCACAGTGCAAGTTTGGAGTGTTTCTGATAAAATAGTGCATGCCAGAGTGCACTTTGGATTAAGAAAACACTGAATATTCTAATTATTCAAATATTCTGAAAAATTATCAACCCTCAATTAATAGGCTGGGTACACTAATGCATCTTTTGTGCATAAATGAAAGATGTAGATGATGTGTGGAATGAGTTATGTTTATCTGAAGGCATGGGTGTTTTCCTTCTTTCTGTTTGTTTGTTTATATCCATCTGTACTAGGTGCTTTGATGCCACCTTTGTTTAGTCTCTGGTGCTTGTATTTCACATTGTGTTGCCACTTGTAGATTTTACACCGATAGTTTGTAGAAGTCTCTTTTTTATTTTTTTTTATTTTACTTAAAATCCTTATCTAGTTAAACTATCTTTTAAAATCTTTTGCTTTTTATGATAAAAGTTCTGAATAAATCGTTCAGTTTCCTGATGATTTTGTTGGGAAGTTTTTGATTTTCTGAACATATTGCTTTCGAAACCTTTATACTTTCACTTGCAGTCAAGATGTACAAGATTGCTGTGTTGATGTTGGTTGTGGCTAGTGCCTTGACAAGTAGTGTCAACGCTGACACTTGTAAACCACTTAGGAGGTCACCACTACTCGAGGGCCTTGCTGAAAAGTACAGAGAGAAGTAGGTCAATTTGTTTATGGATAATTAGTAACCAGAACTCTTTTTCGTCGTTACGGATCAGCAGTCCTTTTTCGATAAGGGTTTTAGTAACGTTGTACATGTGGATTCAAAAGTTAATTGCTGATTGTATTCACTAATAACCAACCAATGGACCACTAATAAGCAATGTAGTTCTGAATGGAATAGTTGCAAAGAATATCCAAAAACTAAAATTTTCGACTTAAAGGATCTAGTGCACTCTTCATTATGATTTCCATGAACAAAATGAAGGTGTAACATAAAGAATTCAATGTCACATAATACTTATATTTAAGCGTTTGGACCCACATAGGCCGAAGTTGAGGTCATCTGGTTCAGTAAGGGTGTATTGACTTGACATTGGATGTGGTCCATTGCCTTAACATGTGGATGTCATCAGATTCCAATGTAGGCCATTGGTTTCTATTGATTTTCACAGAAATACCTAAAATACACTAGACCTAACTATTGTGCTTCTTTATATTTCTTCTCGCACTTTTCAACCAACAATAAAGATGTTTCACAGTAAATTGTTATCAATAATGATTTTACTTGTATTTCCCTTCCAGGACTTGGTTGTTTGCATTGGAGGGAAGCTGGGAGCCATACACTTATCTAAACGCAGAGACTGGGCAACTAAAGGGATTCCTGCTCGATCTGATCTACGAGGCATGTTTGCGGTGCGATATGAAGTGTGATACCATCTACATAGGCGAAAATATCCAGTCATGCTTCAACCCTATGAACTACACAGCTGAAGGTAGGGACATCACATACTATGAATTTATTTGTAGCCGTCTACAATAATATTAAAAAGCTTTTCATGTAATTGGGAGTTAAGTCTTCGAATTATCACATGTATGTATATATATCTTTATTGCCCTTATTGTGGGATTGCAGAATGACCGTCGACTATTTGTGGTTCGACCATAGTTCGGAATGTTTTTGAATGTGCTCTTAGAGTTTTTGTCATATTTTAGGACTGTTCAACCGCTACTTTGATGGGTGTGTAGGATGGGGCCCAACTGCATTACGTAAGAATGTCTTGGCTTTCTCGTCTCCTCTAACCAAGGCTCCTCTAGCTCGACTGTACACACGCGCAACTTCAGGGATCACAAGACCAGACGAAGCAGTCGCTGGGAAGACAGTTGGTAAATATAAACTGTTGGTCAAAATTATTTGCGAAAGGAAGAAATTATAAGTGAAGGTCGCCATCATGTATTTATTAGATTCGGTCTTGTTGGAACTTGAAGTTTGACAAAATGATCCGATTGCGACTCTAGTCGTGACATCTATGGGCCATTTCCATCAATCGTAGAGTGTTAAAATGATTTTTTCATGATAAAAGAATAACTGAGAACCTCTTCATGACTATAAACGGTCCTATATGTTCAGAGTGCATATAATTAAAGTTCTAAATGGTTCCTGTTACCAAGGATTATAACTACAGTACACCTCCAATCCGCAACATCATTTTGCAGCTTTTTACAGTACTGTAAACAGTACTGAACAGGGCAGTTCGCTGTAAACCGTACCTAACGGTGCAATTAGAGCTCTGCACTGTAAAGCAATGTAAAGTGCTATTTCAACAGCACTGATTTAACAGTGAAGTACAGTTCTGATTTTACAGAGTTTTCCAGCATTTTTTCATAAACAGCACTGTATGGTACTGTTTTGCAATTTTACACTTCAATAAACTATGCTTAACACCAACAGGGTTCCGAGCATTCTGGTTCACTGACAAATTGTGCGCCCGCTACAACTTACTGCCACAACTGAGAGACGAAGATGTCCGAAACATTGAAGTAACTAACGGATGGGAGGACCTCCTTACACAACTTGTGCAGAGAGATGTAAGCATTCTTCCATACAGCTTATTAACACATCGTGCCTAATACTACCCATTTGGGGCCCTTGATCTGAATATGGCATTTTGTACCCAATAGACGTTTCTGATAAAACTTATCTTTTGATCCATCGGGGAAACTGTAAGATATTGGCTAGATTGATGTCATTGTTTGTAGGTAGCAATCTTTCCATTCAAAAATCGTATTAACTTATTGCTAATCTTGAAAAAGTACAACCCACGACATCCTCAATCTAGTTATTAATATATTGTGGTTTCTGATGGATCAAAAGATAGCACCATTTATCGGAACATTAGACGGCATTGAATTGTAGAAAAAGATGTATTCAAAACAATGATTTTCACGGTCCACATCCCGCTCCGTATGATATGGTCCGTTCGTGTGCTAGAATACGATCCCTTCGTGAGACAAAGAGGCCAAAATTGACAAAATGTCAGGAAAAAGTAGGAAACAGTGCGAATTTTGATATTTTGTGAATGGTTAACTATAGGCAACATAATTACCTATGAATTCATGAAGAAAGCAAGAAAAAAATATCAAGGCTTCATAGGTAAAAATAGGTCGAACATAGACTTTTCACGACAGAATACACTTCAATTGCAATAATTCTTTTATATTACCGTATACATATCTAATTTCGTGCAATTTATAAAGTACATGCATTAATGCGTGCGACTGATAAACAAACATGACGTAATACATCACAAAAGTACATGAAAATGTGGTTTAAAACTCGAATAGAAGGATCCGACCTTACCACAGCTAGGATTCGACCAAGTCGTGTGAGGATAATTTGGGGACTCCGGCCATGTCATGTTAATAGTTCCATCTTTTCGTGTTCTTTGCACAACTAATTAATGCCCCAGTGCTAAGATTGATCTCTGAATGGAATAGGTTATCTCCAGTCTATTCCCACCATCTCTTTGTTCAAAAGTAAAATCAAAAACAAATCTTGAAAGTTTAATGACTTCAATACAACTTCTAAACTCAATCTTTCTCGAAAACAAGAAATTACCTTGAACAGAATTAGATGCGGACTCTAATTTGAATCACAAAAGATTGCTCATGATTTCCCTAACACAGCTAATCTAATTGTCTGTGGTAAGAGTACAACTCCTAAACACTCGATTCTGCAATGTAAGCACCATTCAACCCAAAGAAAAAACCTTTAAGAAACCCTTGAGCAGCAAAATCTTGAGACCCATCTAATTGAACAAGACAAAACTGAATTTTTAATTTTCAAAAACTCATTTTCAATTGAACAGGATTCTCGATTAAAAGGAAGGCTCGTTGATTTTATTCTTAGCTTGGCCTAACCCATTTTATTCTGACATACTTTTCACCATTAAGTTAGCACAATTGTATGTATAACTCACTCAATTAATTTGATTTATGTTCATTCCAAAACGCTAGCCTGTAATGCACATTGCGCTAGGCAGCGACCTGTGTAACTTTTTTACTGCAATATAATTTGAAATAAATGATTGTATAATGAACTGAAAAAATCTTTTCGTGTGAAAAAATTCGACCAATTCGTGTTTTACGTATACAAAAAATATATTCAAATTGGCATGCATTTATACGATCATTGTATCATATAATTTATTTTAGTATATGCCATCCGTTTCAACATGAACTGGTCTGTTTGGACGACTGGATAATTCATGGGAATAAGTTGGCTTTTGGGGTGTGGATATCGATGGTAGTTCATTTTTATTTTCGTCTAAATAAGTGTCGGTTTCATTCTGTATCGGCACTTTTAACGACATCTAGAAAAGATAAACAACCATAATTAGCTATTGAGCTTTAATACACCGACTCTAGTGTAATAGATATATTAACTTCCATGGATTTAGTATGGTAACTTTAAAATATGTTCATGGTATTTATTGGTTCAAAACACGACAATGGAGAGGTTAAGCTAACGATGTTTTTCACAACGTAACGGTGAACGCAAAGGTACAAAAATTAACAAAGGAATGTATCGAGCGCTCATAGTTTTATGCGCGCTTAGTCTACTTCAGATACTCTTTCAGCTTCAGAGTTTCGGGTTTAGAACGGGAGATTTGAAATTTTTACGTTGGGTCAACGGGAACCATTTTACTCGTGTCTATTGAACACTATGCTGTCAATTTTGATTTCGATGCACAGTTGAATTCTTGCTGAACACGATGATGTATGTCATGCATGATTTAGCGCCAAGAATCTTACGAAACGAGCTCGTTTAAAATATGTATTAGAAAACCAGCTATAAAACCGTATCAATGACATACTATAGAATCATTACACGCTATGGTGTAGTCTAAACAAACACTGGATTTGAACGGCTATTTATATGAGAAGGCTACATGAATTTGTATATGGTCGAGTGATACGTACAGGTTCAGTTTCGATTATATATGCAAAGCTTAACCTCTCCAATATGGAGCTCAAAACACGGTAGGGTCGGAAATGAAACACGGTAGGATCGTAAGAGAAACGCGCGTGGGTCGGATCCATTCTAAAAATTTAACCTGCAGAGTCGGATCCTCGTCTAATTTGCTTTTGACCATTTTAAAATCGGTATATACCAAGAAACATTCAATTGGCGTTATTTCATCGATCAATATATACAAAGGCTTCATTTGATTTACATAATATACCACAGTGTAGTATATTTGACACGTAAATGACGATAAGGAAGCAGAAACTCACTCTCTCCGCATGTATGTCGTCACCACAAATAAATCCAATGTTTTTAAGCATAAATGTTTTTTAATAATAAAACTCACCTCCGAATTTCCTCCCTATAGAGGCGGTATGGTCGGATCTTGTGCACACGAACGGACTATATCATACGGAGCGGGATGTGGACCGTGATTTTGTATTTTTCTCATTTCCAACAAGATGGTCACGTGAAATGTTGATTTTGGAAAGACCTCCGTGCATCATTAAGTTTTTGCAAGCTTTATTTCCGTACATTATTAATTTTAGGTTGATCTTATCCTTCTGCCAGACGGTTATAAAGGAACTGAAGATCTAGTAGCAGTAGGTGAAGCATTTTCTTGCACGGAAGGACCACTATCACTGATGCACAGGAAGGATGTCGACCTTTCCTGGTTTGGTAAATGTGTCCAGGATCTCTACAGGGTCGACCGTTACCATACCCTGTGCACGAACTGGGGTAAGTGCTTCAAATAATATCTGTACAGAAAGTACAAAAGTACAGATTTCAAAATATGATTTTCTTTTAATTTGCATGGGTCCTTGGATGGTTTTCAAACATGCTGCAATTTGGGGTTTTCATGATGACGACCGTCAGTTATGTTACTTATTTTGATTCTCGGCACGAGATTAATTATGCATCAAAATTCATGAAAAGTGTATTAATAGTATTGATTTAATATAAGTAGGACAATGATAAATATTTCACATACATGCAAACGAGGGACAAAAGGAGCACATATCCGGACTCATCCTTTTGTTACACCGTCCGATTTATTGACACAATTATAACACGCCATTCTCTTAAAAAGACATCATATTACAATTTGAACTCTCCATTCCAGATGTGAAGACCTGTCTATCGACCTTCTAGATAGCCAACTACGACAACACAGCCGTCTAAACAACATTCTACACTCCAAAAGACTCTTAATATCCATTTGATTATCTCCATCCGACTCTGTTGTATGAGCATTATTTTTGAATTTACCACTTTAAATAACGATCATCAAAACTACATGGACTAATGTTGTTGTTGGACAAAGCAAAAACTATTAAGACTATTAAATTTTACATTTATTCTTATATAATTTATCAAATAAATTTATTTTTGAATATATATAGCGACATGAATGTTATCGAGGGCGTGTACAGAACTGTACATTGATGGGGTTTGAAAGAATAGAATAAAATGGTGACCTAAGTGGTTCACAGGTTTCAGAGTTGGCACTACTTGCAATGGCGCTGCTAGCCTCGGACAACATTAACACAGCAATCTTGTACATCTTTACTGCAAGTGAAAGTATAAAGGTTTTCAAAGAGTTGGGATTTTGAAGTTAAAGGCAGAATCTGATCTATAGGGGGTGACAAAATTACAAGCAACATGTATAATTGACCTACCAACCTATTCCTTACAATATCAAATACAATATCTCCCAAAAGATTCACAATGTATTGTAAATTGGTGAAGTTATTAATAATTCAAAGTGCAAAAATGAGTGAAAAATGTTTAAATTCTCCCAAATAATAAGAATGGTTAACCATTCTTATAGAAAAATAATACATTATTGTAAAAATCTTTAGTTTTCCTGGGACAATATATGCACTTTTGTGATTTTTAAAAAATGGACATGACAAGGAATGACATGACCCAAAAATATTCTAAAATTGAAAGAATTTTTTGTTTAGCCTGCTCTCTATATCTGATTCTCTCTTTAATATATATATCTTTTATTGACTCTTTAGATGTCATGACCTGACATATTAGTCATTACAAAATGAAATTTTACAAAACTACACTACACTACACTACACTAATATATAATTTATACAAAAAACTTGTTATTTACAATTTATTTATGTTATAATATACTTTAGGTGTGATGCATCCAAAATGTTAATCTCCAGGCCAGTCTAAGTTTTTGAAGGATTTTGTAATAAAACTTCCAACTTGCTTTTGCACATATTTATCTTTTGAAGAAATTAACATAATGAATGTATTTTCAGTATCATGATGATCAACATTAATTTTGCTACTGATGTTGTCAAACAATATTTTTTCTATTTTCTCTATGTAAATGCCATTTAATCATGAAATGAACCTCATTTTCTATTTCCCCACAAAAGTTACATAATCTTTCATATTCAGGTTTTGGCCGTGGTTTTACATGTCACACAGTTCTATTTGTAATTTATGTGAACTTAATCTCAGTTGTGAAATTGATTGCCTGTGATTTTTGTTTTGAAGGCTTAAATATTGTTCTCTTTCAAAAATGTCGGACTTCACTTTGGATTTTTTGCAGTTTTGAATAGTAGGCCACTGAATATTCTAGGTTTTCATACATTCTAAAGAATGATCAGTCTTAAATTAATAATCTAGATACTAGTTCACTAATGCACATTTTGTGCAAAAATAAGATGGAGACCATGTGTTTATCTGAAAATAGCATAAAATTGCTATACCTGCACGATGTTACCATTTACATATTGGTAAAGTATTCGAATACAAATGGACTTCATTCTTGAGGAAATTGATGAAAACAACCATTCCCTCTGACGGAAGTTTGTTTGTGGGAACCAGTGGAAATGGCTGCCATTCAATGTTTCAAATTTCTTATCCAAGTTTCTCAAACAGCCTTGGATTGCCATTCACCTCTTACTTTGTTAGACTTTCAAAACACATTACTTTTGCCCATTTCCTTTACTTTGTTGGACTTTTATAATTCATAAGGATGTAGAGAAAGGATCTAGTGCACCCTCAATTACAGGCCTCCTAGACTTCCAACAACGCGAACATCAGTTCTGATACCGCGAACTACGTTCCTTGCACTCGAACCACGAATCTCGTATCGCGAACGTGAAATCTTATGTCGCGCACCACCATTTCCTTGTTTCCGAACATATTTCTTGTACCGCGCACAGATATCCGTAACTGCGAACTGTACATAATACATCCGGGTGTTTGGGATTCCAAGTTATATACCAATATGCAACGGAGTGAAACGCGGACAATTTTACATATATATGTGTTATCATTGTAGGGAACGGAAATTGTTAACATTTAGATTGTATTTGTCAAGATGAAACGTTTCAATAATAATGCTTTAAAATCAACGTTGGTATGAACTCTAGAACCTCTAGTACAGACATATAGCAGAGAACACAGTCGTGCCGCACCCCTCAGCTATGATGATTTGTAGGGTGTTAATTTGGTTGTCTTGTATAGAAGTTGTCCTGGCATCGAATTGCAAAGTACGCAACAACACGAAGGCGGAAAGAAGGCGTAAGTAGGAAAATGTTTGCTATAATGAGTTCAACCCAAAAACCTGATGATTTAAGGTCAGGGTGCATGATGGGAAATTTTCTACATTCCTCAATTGAGTCACATGTAATTTTTCAAACAAGAATCACTCCTTCCCTTCATTGTCTAGGCCTATATCTTCCAGTTTTGCACAAAGAGTGCACTTATGTGCCTAGAAAGGACTTGTGAGAAGAATGTTTTGATAAAGTGTATAAAAAACAAGAAAATTCAGTGAAAAAAAATCAGAAAATTTTCAGAAATTTTTTTCTCTGAATTTTCTCATTTTTTATACATTTTACAAAACAAACCTTCTCACAAGGCTTTTCTAGGCACAGAAGTGCACTCTTTGTGCAAACTTGGAAGATGTAGACAATGTGGGGAAGGAGTTATTCATGTTTGAAAAATAACATGTGACTCAATTGAGGAATGCAGAAAATTTCCCAACATGCACCCTGTCCTTAAGCAAAACGCTTATGTGCAGAGTAAAGTGAACTGGTATATATATAAAAGCAGCAAAAAGAAACCACTAAGTGTCAAATCTATCTTTTTAGTATATGAATCTAGAAAATTGAAAAGCAGAAAGATGTGATGAATATCAGAATGATAAAGTAGATACTCTGACATACTAGGGGTATTCCAAAAGTCTTGGACGCCCCGCTCTAACTTTGCTATTTTCTAATATAATTGCATGAAACTTTCAGATAATAAAGATCAACATCTTAACAATTTTGTGTATACGTTTCAACAGAAAATGATATATTTTAGCCTTTTAGTAAATATTTTTTAACACTGGGTCCCATACCTACCACCCGGAACGGTATTCAAACATAGCAAATCATGTCACAACTGTTATAATATGGCAAATACTTTAGGTGCAGGTACACAACCTAACACCAGTCATAATATGAGAGAATTTCCGATTTTCAATCTGAGTGTCATCTGCCATCATCATCTTCACATATTAAGACCTACTTTAAAACATATTTTCCACGAATCTGGACACATCTTTCATACCGCTTTACCAATGAATGGAAGTTATTTATGAAACCGCCATTCCTTATGTGATACAAATGCTGCTGGAGTGCCACTCTAAACCTCATCTAATGAGTAAAAAAACATATTCTTTCAACCCTCCTTTCAACTTGGAGAAAAGGAAGAAAATCACACGGAGCCATATCTAGACTGTATCGTGCATATGGTAGCTGCTAAAGGTCAATAATAGTGAGAATATCTTGCAGTATTCTTTGTTCCACTTTGATTTCTTTCATGTTCTACATTTCAGCAGCCATCTTGGAGCAAAAACTGATACCAGCATGAGGGTTGCTTGTCTGATGTCATTTTCTTAGAATTTGGCATATATGGCCATTGTCACATGTGACATTATAATTAAAACACAATTAATTGGTTGCCTAGTAACAAAGGAAGTAAACTAACATGGTTTAACATTCAAAATTCAAAGAAAGATAGTGGTCAAGACTTGCGAAACAAATCAAATGGCGGCAACATTTGAGGCTGAAAGTTACCATGTGCGAATACCGTTCCGGGTGACAGGGTCCCTATATTAAAAACTATCTAGAAAACTTCATAAAACATATCATTTCTCCATGAAATTAATACACAAAGTAGTTAGGTTGTTGGTCTTTATTATTGGAAAGTTTAGACCAATTTTATCAAAAACCAACAAAATTAGAGCAGGGCGTCCAAGACTTTTGGATCACCCCTCGTATATGGACATTTCAGTTTCAGTTTTTCAGCTTTTAGATCTTGTGGCCATTTTACCCCCCATGGGCTATAATTTGGACCCCTAAACTAAATTGGGCAAGAACTCCAAAAATACTCAGTGGAACATTTCCCAATTACTAAATTATATTGGTATAGGCATCCTCAATATATATGATAAAAATTTCATGTCTCATGGTGAAGTGGTTGTCATGGAAATGGATTTGTTCATATGAGTAGATATTGCTGTATCAAATTCCACATACACTTCATGACGAGTTGGAAGTATAAAAAAATTTCTTAGCTTAGCTTATATTCGCGAATGCATCTTTCGACTGTCGGCTAGCGGAGTACCTATTATTTAAGTATAAACGGAATACTGGCAGCTACTATTCATATAATTAAATGAGTTGCCCATAAAATAGTAGGTTAATCCGGTAGCCGATAGCCGAAAGTTGCATTCACAAGCCGAGATTCGATATTTTATACCTGTTCCCTGGCTTATAGTCTTGAGAAATATTTGAAGTAACATATCTTAACTTGTATTCGCGAATGCAACTATAACGGTCGACTACCGGATTAACCTAATATTTCATGACCAACTCATTTAAATATGAATGGAATATTGGCAGGTTCTATTCATATTTGAATGAGTTGCCCATTAAATAGCACGTAAATTCGGTAGCCAACAGGCGTTAGTTGCATTTGCGAATCGCCTAAGCTTGTTTTCGCGAATGCAAATAACGGATACCGACAAGCAGGTTGATTGCAATTTGATGGCAAACTAAGCTTGTATTCGCGAATGCAACTGGCTGTCAGCTACCGGTGTAAAAGGGTAGGAGGTCCTATTAATTTATGGTCCTACTCTCCATTGATTTATATGGTGACGTCTTTCTCTTATTATCTTATACACAATCAGGGCCAGTAAGGGCCTATAAAAAGGGGGGCCATAATCCCCGGGGGGCCATGATTTCTTTCACACCGGTGTGAAAGAAATGATGGTCCCCCAGGGATTATGGTCCCCTTTCTTAACGGCCCTCACTGGCCCTGATTGCGTATAAGATAATTAGGAAAAGAGTTGTATTTAGGTCACCATATAAATCAATGGAGAGTAGGACCATAATTTGATGGGACCTCCTACCCTTTTACACCGGGATAACCTACTTTTTATGGGCAACTTATTTAAATATGAATAGTACCTGCCACTATTACATTTATATTTAAATGGGTGACGCATATCGTTTAGCAAATCGAACGCTCGTTTCTGGTGTTGCTCACCGTTTAGTATAAAAGGCCCGATCCCGGAATAATACTCAAGGGTTCACAGGTTCGAGGTCGTTGTGTCAACACCTCTAACTGTTATATAGCATAAGTATATTATAGATCGTCACACATTTATAAAAGGGTGATTTTTATTTTGACAAATCAATTCCACATTTATGGGTGACGTTTCAGGATCTTCTATTTGTGTATAATAAGGAAAAATTGGCATCTAAATTTCCCCATAACGTTATAGCACACAGCTTGGCATATGACATGTCCTACAAATGAAACAAAGCAAGACAAACCGGTTTCTAATACAAGGATTTATATTGGCTGTTGTACATGTATTCTTTGAACGCAATCACTCTTTGGACAACGTTTTCAAAATAATTATAAACGGATTACTTTATCTCAAAGACAATTTCAATAAACTGGATTTTACAGAACTCCCCTTATTTCTTAAAAATGGACTGATCCAGTTGATTCGCCTGGGGCCGCCATATTGTTTTTATACGGGATGCTAATCGGAACCCTTTAAACGACGGGTAGTCATAGAAGTTAATCCGGAAGCCAAAAGTTGCATTTGCGAATACAAGATACTCACTGAATGCATTGCCATATATTGGGAGTCCTTGGGGCAATGACTAGGCTCTGACAGTGACAGCCATATAACTGATTTAATTATTGATCAGAGAACAAATACAAAGGACTTCACCTTTTGACCTCAACCCCATCGTATATGACATCTGGAAGATAGTATAAGTGACTTCGAATTATACAGGTAATTCACATGTACTTCTATCAGTGCCCGGGTATCAGTGGAACATTAAGATTTTGAAATTACATTTGCTACTGTATCATGAGGAAATAAAACGGTAGGTTCCCTTTTCGGAGTTCTTTGTAGAATAAAACTTTACTGAGGAGACTTCAGGGATATATGACACTAATTCAAGTATGAGTTCTGTTTTCACACTCGAGCACATAAGTATTGCTAGATTCGCCAGAAACTACATTTTGTAGTTCGAATTGTGTTTATAAAATTTCCAATTGTCTGTCATGTTTAAAAGTTTCTCGGCCATGTTTAATAGAAAGTCAATTTAAAAAAGTCGTGTGATGGAGAGTCATATTAAGAAGAGTCATATTAAGAAGAGTCATATCAAGGAAAGTTATATTAAGAAGAGTCGTGTTAAGAAGAGTCATGTTAGGAAGAGTTATATTAAGAAAGTCGTGTTAAGAAGAGTCATATCAAGGAGAGTTATATTAAGAAGAGTCGTGTTAATAAGAAGAGTAATGTTTAGAAGAGTGATATCAAGGAGAGTCATGTTAAGGAGAGTCATGTTAGGAAGAGTTATATGAAGAAGAGTCATGCTAAGAAGAGTTATATAAAGAAGAGTCATGTTAAGAAGAGTCATATCGAGTCATGACTCTTCTTAACATGACTCTTCTTTATATAACTCTTCTTAGCATGACTCTTCTTCATATAACTCTTCCTAACATGACTCTCCTTAACATGACTCTCCTTGATATCACTCTTCTAAACATTACTCTTCTTATTAACACGACTCTTCTTAATATAACTCTCCTTGATATGACTCTTCTTAACACGACTTTCTTAATATAACTCTTCCTAACATGACTCTTCTTAACACGACTCTTCTTAATATAACTCTCCTTGATATGACTCTAAAGAAGAGTCGTGTTAAGAAGAGTCATGTTAGGAAGAATTATATTAAGAAGAGTCGTGTTAAGAAGAGTCATATCAAGGAAAATCATGTTAAGAAGAGTCGTGTTAATAAGAAGAGTAATGTTAAGAAGAGTTATATCAAGGAGAGTCATGTTAAGGAGAGTCATGTTAGGAAGAGTTATATGAAGAAGAGTCATGTTAAGAAGAGTCATATCGAGTTATATAAAGAAAGAGTCATGTTAAGAAGAGTCGTGTTAGGAAGAATTATATTAAGAAGAGTCGTGTTAAGAAGAGTCATATCAAGGAAAGTCCTGTTAAGAAGAGTCATGTTAGGAAGAGTGATATTAAGAAAAGTCGTGTTAAGAAGAGTCATGTTAGGAAGAGTTATATGAAGAAGAGTGAGAAAAAGTCATGTTGAGAAGAATCATGCTAGGAATACTTTGTTCTACTTTTGAATAAGGCATTGTCCCAATTCGTCTACTCGATTTTAGTTTTAGCAACAATCTACACTACAAGCAGCTTAGATCATGAAGATCCAGAAGATCTCGGCGTACCAAGTGGATCTTCCTCTCCTAGAGAGCTCCTACAACTGGTCAGATGGCAAATCAGTTCAGGTGTTCGACAGTACAGTCGTCAAGATAGATACTGATACTGGTGTCACTGGTTTTGGAGAGGTAAATAATAGATCCACCCTTTAAGAAAAATGTTTCGTTGAAAAGTTTCCACACACATTTTGTTCTTGCAAGATCCTGAAATCTTTTGAAAGAGTGTAGTAAGATTATGATTATGTTTTTACCTGATGAAATAAAACATGATCAATTAACTCAATATTTCAGGTCTGTCCACTCGGACCATTTTACTTGCCGTCGTATGCAAATGGCGTTCGGACAGGACTCAAAGAACTCGGACCTCATTTACTGGGACTTAATCCACTGGAACTTAGCGTATTAAACCAGATGATGGACTTTCATCTAAAAGGACACACATACGTTAAAAGTGCAATAGATATGGCATGTTGGGATATACTCGGAAAGGTATGAAATTCAACAATGACAAAAAGTTCAATTATTTTGAACATCGTTCCTATCTATTTTTAACTGTTTGAATAAGCCACTGTCGTGTCCAACCCACTATGAGAATTTGTCTCGATGACCCTTGTATGGGAAACAGCCGTTGTGAATGTTAAAGAACAAGATCCCCTTTAATCATAAACAAAAAACGGTTTTAGGTAAAAAATTATTAGAATATTATAAGCATTTACTCTACCGAGGTGACAACCAGTGTTCAGTAAATAAGCGCCCTGTATACATGTTTGTAATGTCATAGGTGACGGGACAATCGATCTGCACGTTGATGGGTGGACGCTTTGGTGAATCTGTTCAGCTATATCGAGCAATCAGCCAGGCCCCGCCAGAACAGATGGCCGCCAACGTCATTAAGTACAAGGCGGAGGGATACACCAAGTTCCAACTGAAGTGCGGAGGCAAGCACGGAGACCCAACTGATGATATTGCAAGAATTAAGAGTGTGCGAGCTGCATTGGATCCCAATGATGTTCTAGTCGCAGACACAAACACAGGTTATTTCAGTATACGAATAGTTAATGCTAATCTTAGTCTCAAAAAATCAGTCTCATTGAGAAATTGTTGATTTCCAACAACATTGAACAACAAGCATGGAGTGTAAGTCGTTCATTTTACAAATATAAACTACATATCTAGCCAACTCATATTACCTAAGCGTATGATTTTGTATATTTGCGTGTCGTGTATTATGTGTCGCATATATGGTGCGGTATGGCGAGGCGTGGTGTTGTGTTGTATGGAAATGCCTACGTAATTCACCCATTCTCCGTTAAACGTGATTTTTAGGGTCAAAATGTCAATTTTCGATCTAAGCAAAAATATTAGCTGGCATTTAACATGGCCAAAATTATAGAAAAACAATTACTAGTATACCATATATCACGCTTACGCCCCAGTCACATTTCCCACGGCCGCCGTGTGGTCTATCATTTCTGCGGCCAGTAGCTTTTCTACGCTCGCCGTAGAATTTCTGCGCTCTCATACTCTTGCAGTCCCAATTCCCACGGCAGCCGCTCGGTGAATTTTAAATTTCTGTTGGTAAATAATACATATTTCATTTTATTTACATCGGGACAATTTATAAATGTTATTCATAGTGCTAGGATGCTATATCAAATGAAAAGTGATCGTGAAACATTGACAAATAATGATTCAATCTTGTTGAGCCAGTTGATTTCTACGGGGACCTCAGAAATGAACAAATATTATAACTCCGAGTTATAATTTCTACGGCGACCCTGCGGCCTGTAAAAAACTGGATACGCCGTACGGAGGCCGCAAGGCGAGCGTAGTTTTCCTACGCTCGCCGCAGAAATACACTGATTTAATTGATCTGCGGTCGACGTACGGCCGACGTACGACAAATGTGACTGGGGTGTTAGCGGAGTATAGTGGGTGCATTATAAACAAACATCAGGTACATCTAAAATAGACAGCGATTTGCTTTAAAATGGGAAATTCACAATATATTTGTCACATCAACATTTTTGTTGCAGGCTGGGTGCCCCACCAAGCAGTTCGGGTTGCCAACGCTGTAGCTGAACTAGATGTCTACCTGGAGCAGCCGTGTTATACCTACCAGGAGTGTCTCAGTGTGCGCAATCGCACCTCATTGCCGTTCATCTTGGATGAGAACATAGATGATATTACCACCCTTATACGTGCATATTCAGATCAGGCGTGTGACGTTGTCAATCTGAAGATCAGCAAATTTGGAGGCCTTACAAAAATAAAGCAGGTCGGTTTCCGTACACTCACAAACTTGTAGAATCCTCACATACCTGTAGGTACTGGGGCCCCTGGGAAAGGTCCATTAACTGCATGTGGGCTTGTATTTTATTTCTGCTTCAATCTTGTACTTTGCATTTTATTATTCAACTTTTATTCATTTCAAATTATATGTCACAGCAATATAGATTAGTCCTAAATTAGAAATGAGGTTTAAATCCTTACAAAGAGTCAGATTTTCTTAATCCGAAGTTTCAAATTGCTATCTCTTTAGTCCCTTGTGTGGTGTGTTTTGTTGTGCTCAATCTCTTGAATTTGTTTTGCTTTATCTTTTCAGGCAAGAGATCTATGTGTGTCACTAGGTATAGGGATGTGTTTGGAGGATACCTGGGGTGGAGATATTATCACTGCTGCCATTGCCCACCTTGCTCATAGTACACCAGAGAAGTATCGCTTCTCATCCACTGACTTTAACAGCTACAATAGCGTTCACGTGGCAGGAGGTGTACCAAAGAGAGAGAACGGTCGTATGGAGGCTCCACAGGGCCCAGGGTTGGGTCTAACAGTGGAAATGGACAAACTTGGTGATCCTGTATTAGAGATGTCTTAAATCAGTCATACTTTAATTGTTTTTGACACTATCTGCAACATGTACATGCTTCCCGACATGATTGTAAGACGTTTTGTCTACCATCGGCTAACTTCTTCAGCTACTTCTAAATTTCCCGCCGAAAAGGCAGTAACGTGCAAAATGTCATCACCTGTCATTTGTTACAGACGCTGAACGCCGGATACCAACCGCCAAAAGCAATCGTAGATAATATCTCTTCAAGTTATACTACTCATACTTACTCAAAAAAACTTACTCATACTGAAACTCAGTGACCATATATTGGAGATTGAAGCAAGAAGATTCAAAAATAAAAATGCAAATGATCCCGGCAAATGTGCAAAATGTTCAGGTTATTGTGTTGAAGATGAACGGCATTTTGCATTCTGATACTCATATCATCTCTCTCTGTTGCATCGCAGAAGGATAGAGATGGAGAGCGCGTGGCTTACCACGATGAGCATTTTGTTCTGAGAAGAAAAAACTGTGAAAATGATTGCACTCTATTATATTAATTAGATAAAAAATAAAATCATTAACGAAGACCTTTCTTACATGTCAGTTTGAGGAAAACAAGTTCCTGTATATTTTCATACAAATCAGATAAAGAGGAACTCACATATCATTGAAACGGTAGGTGTGAACGTTTTTATGGTCTCCCAGTCCTGGGTATGAGAGTCCCGTACTTTAAAATCTGGAATTGGTTATTCCCACGGATTTGTAAAACTTACAGTAGTAATGAAAGTCTTGGCTATGGGAATCACGGTCTCTTGTTGAATTTCAAACCTAGAATTGATTATCCATACACGTTCAACCGGACTATCAAACCTAGAATCTGTAGTCTCAGAGTCTGGATATGGTAGAGTCATCGTTACTCGAGCTCCACGGGCTGAAGAAAAGAAACAAATGATGCCGCGTATCACTGTACTTTTTTCCCCTGTTACGATTTTTTCAAATATTCAGTCTAATAGTGTACGAATCTGGAGTTATTTTTCAATCTGGAATATTGGTGCGGACAAATGATGCATGATAATTACCTGTCCTATAAATCACGCAGCCAAAAATATATCAACATATTGTTTCTCTTAAACCAATTATTGAAAACACGGAGCTTTATGTAATGGTTACTGATTGATAACAATTTAATGCGAAAAATATTTATATATATATTCTATATAACTGTTTTTGTAACAAAATTGGTATGGCATTGGTCCTGTATTTAAACATTTGGTATGGCATTGGCCTCATATTAGGGCATTTGGTATGGCTTTTTGGCACTATATTGGTTGGAAACACATCCAAATTTGACATTTTGGTATGGGAATATATTCATTGATATCTGAGGATTCAGCCTGGACCCCCGCCGAATTGGTACATATAGTGATTCCCGGGCCTCCACTGCTCTTCAGATTGCACATTTGCTTTATGTTACACTGACTTTAGCAGTAGATTTGAGGACATGTATCGCAGGGTCGATTGGACATCTACTTGGAGAAGGCAGGGGCGGATCTGGGAACCACGAACCCCCGGGCCACGAACAAGGTGGGGGAAATTTGAACTCTGATAAAAGATTTTTCATGTGGCCCCTAAAATCAAAAATGGGCCCAAATTTTGAAAATCGAATGCCCATTTTCTTCATAATTTGGCCTTAAATTAAAAAATAAGGCCTTAAAGGCCCAGTAATGCCCCAAAAAGGGGGGGGCAGGCCCTGATCCGCCAGTGGGAAGTCTATCTGCAAAGGTCAGACAGTGCTCCATACAAGAAAAAATTGCACGATCATGAGAATACGGTGCAAAAGGACTGGTTCCCCTACAATTTCCACTTCCCAGTGTATTGCACAGTATGATCGATCCCTACTACATATCACGTGATAGTCAAAATGGCGTCTGATCAAATGCTAAGAGAAGGTAGGGAATTATAATCAATCAATCTAAGATTCTAACCTCACACTTGGGATTTGATTTGTGATATAAATAAACAATCTAACGGAGACTTTTCTCTATCGTTCTGAATCTGAATTCATATAGTGCATGTTACAAGCACCAAGTGAATCATTTTATGAAATTCGTTGAAAAATTCTGAGTAGAATAAGAGGAACAAAATTTGCTTGCAAATTAGGCTATAGGCTAATGTAAGGCCTAGCCTAAATTGCAATGCAATATGGTATTAGTACTCCAACAGCAATAGCTTAGTGCACTCCAAATGGATTTGGAACAACCTTGAATTGGGACCTGCATATGGTGGAGAAGGGGCATTCATTATTTTGTTCAGTAATTGTTCATAACCTTTGGCCATGTTCCTAAATGCATCCAGGGTTAGGGCCCACTATGCTGTTTAATGTCTAGATTGAGTTCTACATCTATATTTTGTGAAACTGGTCAAAGGTAATCAGGGTTTTCTCATTTGTATCATATTCAATATGATATTGTAATTTTCTTCTTTATCCTTGTTGTTGTTGACCTAGACACTTAAAATTCTTAAACTTCCCAACTGCCCTGGCAACATCCTCACAAAGTCTGTGTTCAAATTCAGAATCTTTCAACAAGTGACCAGAAACACAGAGGTCGCTATTTTTGACTATTGACATGACATTAGGCATTGCAAGGTCTAGTATGCAGGTATAGATCATGATTTATTTTTCTTACAGGTGTACGGCAGAATTTAGCTAATTGGATCCGCAAGTTGGAATGTAACGGGGATGTTGAGAAGCAACATGAGTTCAAACAAAGATTCCTCAGGAAACTACGGGATTCCAAAATAGCAATTGAAACAAAAACAGCAAATGAACAGCATTATGAAGTCCCCACAGATTTCTTTATTACGGTATGTGGATATTCAAATTTTGAACTGGATATAGCACCATTTTGTTGGTGCTGCCATCTTTATATCGGCTCAGAACCTATGACTTTAATGCTGGGAGAGTGCGATTTCTTACTGAACGAGTATGAGGCATACAATGGAGAATGGTAGCTGAAGAATACATAAGGTTACATATTTAGGTTATGGGTATTATATGCAAGTTGAGAGCCCATGGATAGGTCAGGGGAATCCTACATAATCAACAAATGATTTAATATCATATCAACATATTGTTTATTAAATAAGATCTTTAGTTTTTAGATTACAATGTATCACTAGATATACCATACCATAAGACACAGTTCAAGGATAATTATTGAATAATACAAATATATAAGTTCATAATTAAATTATATTCATGTTTTCCATTTTTATATCCTCCTATCTTTTTGCAAATCCTAATGTAATCATTTTAATGATCTACACAATTTTACAGGTGCTTGGTGAGAGATTGAAATATAGTTGTGGACTCTGGCCTAAAGGTGTCACCACCCTCGAAGCATGTAAAAATTTTATTTCATTTTTCAAAAATAGAGCAAGCATGGCAGATTGTGTTAAATTGTAAAAAAAGTAAAATAGAAAAAACACAGGAAAATAGAAAATGTTGCCATAATTTTGTATTTTAGTGAACAGTCAAAACAAGTCAATTTCTCAGCACTATTTTGTAGTTGTGGTCCTGTGGAGCAATCATTGAAAGGAGCAATCATTGAGTGGAGCAATCATTGAGTCTCCTCTATGTATAATAACTTAATATTGTATTGTTTTAAGCAAAGTGCAGCAAAATTACTTGATATATATTTCATTTTTGCAGCTGAGAATGCCATGCTTAAAGTCACTTGTGAGAGAGCCCAAGTTCAAAATGGACAGACAATAATGGTATGTACATTTCTGGTTATTAGTTACACAGCAGGGGGTCTGCGACATTAATGTGCTTTGGTTAGACATTTTTCTACATCCCCCAGGACGTCATTTTTAGATTTTGTCAGGAGACCCCCCCCCCAATCAACCACCCATTTTTGATTGTACTAGCCAATCAAAATATTACAATTACTTTAACATATTTCAGTTTTAGTTGTTTAGTTCAGTTTATAGTACAAGTATATATTTTCTAGATTTTGTACATGTAAAGTAATCGTTGATAGCATGGTTGTATGACATGATTGAATAAGATTTTCTGCATGAAACAACTTTTTTTCAGGATCTGGGTTGTGGTTGGGGCTCACTGGCATTTTACATCTGTGAGAATTACCCACAATGCAATGTTGTCTGTGTTTCTAACTCAAATACGCAAAGAAAGCTGATCCAGGGACGTGCCAAAGAGCGTGGTTTCTCCAAGAGATTGGAATGTATTACGGCTGATGCCAATGTATTTATAACACAGCGTAGATTTGATAGAATCATATCCATAGAAATGTTTGAGGTATTTATAAGTGCACTGTACTTCTACCTGAATTAGTCTAAATAACTAGTTTGAAAATGGTGTAACAAAAATGTGACAAAATGTACAAAAATGCTCAAATATCCAACTTATGTGAGTACCTTGATGAAAACTAGTTTTATGGGCAACAAATTTCAAAAGTATGCAAACAAAAAAAATAAAATTCTTTCACTCGTCATATATGATGTATCTATGCTTGGTCAACTTAAGGCTCAGTATCAAAATCACTATTTTCCACAGAGCAGAACACTTATTGTTGAATTTTTGGAAACTATAGCTTCTAGCTTGGCACATGGATGAAACAAATGTATACTAACAAGGCCCTTCTCCCTTCTTGATTTTCAGGAGCACCCATGGATATTTAATCAAGCCTGAATTCTGTCTGTTTTTAGCATATGAAAAACTACCAAGAGTTAATGGGTCGTGTTTCATCATGGTTAAACCCAGGAGGTATGTTATTTACCCAGATTCTCTGCCACAAGGAATTTCCCTATCAGTTTGACACAAAGAAAGGCTCAGATACGGAATGGATGGCAAGGAATTTCTTCTCTGGGGGCACAATGCCGTCTGCTGACCTCTTCCTCTACTTTCAGGTAGGTTCAGAATATCCGTCTGCTCTTGGTTATTTCTTAATTTTTCTCTATAAAGTTTGAATAAAGTGTCAAGTATTTTCGTTTTTTTATACAATTTAGAATGTGAACTTTCATCCATTCTCCCTAAGAGAGAGGTGCTCATTGTTGTTCATTTAAAATGGTGTTCATTGAACTTACTTATAAATAAAGTAGTAAAAAGGGAAATAAAAGAGAGTGTTAAATGTTGGAGACATTATTTTCAAAAGCCATGCTAATGTTTTCCTTGTATGTAGTAAAACCTGTATGAAATTAATGTCATTTCAAAAGCATTTGGATTAGGACGTGTTTTGAAATTGAGGTTTTTGGATCCGCAAGATTCTGAGTTTTGAAAAAATATGAATGCATTCTCAATGAACATTAATATTTGTTTTGACTACATAGCTTTATGGCATTCCAAAATTGAGTTGAAATGAATTTAGTCATGCTAGAAAGACCCATAATGATTGAGACCATTTGAATTTTTGATAAAGTTTTGATATCATAACAAATCAGTGTTAAATTGAAAATATTTGAGCGATGTTGTAAGAAATATGTGATATTTTGTAAAAAGTGTTCAGATTAGACAGGCTAATTTTTCAAGTATTGGCATTCACTGTTCGAATTAGGAAGTGTTCAGATTTGAAGGTTTTTAAAATGTGTGCCAATATTGGAGGAAAAACTGGCACTGGAAAAAAGATGTTCAGATTGGAAGGTATTCGATTAGCCAGGTGTTCGGAAATACAGGTTTCACTGTAATCCTAATTATCCCATCAAAAGAATTTCAGTCCTTTCGTCATTCGTAACTCAAGTACCAGTTGATGTATTTGGTTCAAATTATACTGATGGCTTGTGGACAATGAACTTCAACTTGAAAATGAATTTCCAATAACGAATCACTTTATCATAAAAAGTACTCAATAACTCAAATACCAATTGTTAGATGTCATGTTTTGAATACATAGAACTCATGAAGGAATTTTCAAAATTGCTGCTGTATTCAAAATTCCCACCATTTGTCAGAAGAAATGCAAATATGAACTGTCAGATTTGAACACAAGGCTTATGCCTTATGGATGTTGGAACCTCACTTGAAAGAAACATAAAATGCAGAAATGTCCAAATTCATGAGATTTGAAAAAGGTCAAAAAAGGTTTCAAAGTCAGAACTACAGAGCTTTTAGAATAAGCGTGTGAGCAGAGAATATTGTAAAATTGTGATTTTTTCAAAACTTACTCTTAACTTTTCTAGTCATTTAAAAGAGGGTGTTTGATGATATATATTCCAATATTCTTCTATACTTCATTCCATTCCAGGATGATCTAGTCTGTGTTGATCACTGGAGAATCAATGGTTGCAACTATTCCAAGACCCTGGAGGCATGGCTAGTCAAGATGGATGAACGCATCGGGAAAGTTAAACCTATCTTTGAAAAAGGTAACATTTACATTTGGTTTTCAAATTTCAATGTTTTATTACCTGAATGATCATTCCTTGACCTTTCCCACTTGTCCTCTCTATTTTCCATGTAAAACATGGTGTGAAACATCATTCCTGTCTATGCTTGTATACTTCATTGTCTCTTCCCCTTGTCCTCTCTATTTTCCATATAAAACATCATTCCTGTCTATGCTTGTTTACTTCATTGACTCTTCCCCTTGTCCTCTCTATTTTCCATGTAAAACATGGCGTGAAACATCATTCCTATCTATGCTTGTTTACTTCATTGACTCTTCCCCTTGTCCTCTCTATTTTCCATGTAATACATGGTGTGAAACATCATTCCTGTCTATGCTTGTTTACTTCATTGACTCTTCCCCTTGTCCTCTCTATTTTCCATGTAATACATGGTGTGAAACATCATTCCTGTCTATGCTTGTATACTTCATTGACTCTTCCCCTTGTCCTCTCTATTTTCCATATAAAACATCATTCCTGTCTATGCTTGTTTACTTCATTGACTCTTCCCCTTGTTCTCTCTATTTTCCATGTAATACATGGCGTAAAACATCATTCCTGTCTATGCTTGTATACTTCATTGACTCTTCTCCTTGTCCTCTCTATTTTCCATGTAATACATGGTGTGAAACATCATTCCTGTCTATGCTTGTTTACTTCATTGACTCTTCTCCTTGTCCTCTCTATTTTCCATGTAATACATGGTGTGAAACATCATTCCTGTCTATGCTTGTATACTTCATTGACTCTTCTCCTTGTCCTCTCTATTTTCCATGTAATACATGGTGTGAAACATCATTCCTGTCTATGCTTGTTTACTTCATTGACTCTTCCCCTTGTGCTCTCTATTTTCCATGTAATACATGGTGTGAAACATCATTCCTGTCTATGCTTGTATACTTCATTGACTCTTCTCCTTGTCCTCTCTATTTTCCATGTAATACATGGTGTGAAACATCATTCCTGTCTATGCTTGTTTACTTCATTGACTCTTCCCCTTGTGCTCTCTATTTTCCATGTAATACATGGTGTGAAACATCATTCCTGTCTATGCTTATTTACTTCATTGACTCTTCTCCTTGTCCTCTCTATTTTCCATGTAATACATGGTGTGAAACATCATTCCTGTCTATGCTTGTTTACTTCATTGACTCTTCTCCTTGTCCTCTCTATTTTCCATGTAATACATGGTGTGAAACATCATTCCTGTCTATGCTTGTATACTTCATTGACTCTTCTCCTTGTCCTCTCTATTTTCCATGTAATACATGGTGTGAAACATCATTCCTGTCTATGCTTGTATACTTCATTGACTCTTCTCCTTGTCCTCTCTATTTTCCATGTAATACATGGTGTGAAACATCATTCCTGTCTATGCTTGTTTACTTCATTGACTCTTCTCCTTGTCCTCTCTATTTTCCATGTAATACATGGTGTGAAACATCATTCCTGTCTATGCTTGTATACTTCATTGACTCTTCTCCTTGTCCTCTCTATTTTCCATGTAATACATGGTGTGAAACATCATTCCTGTCTATGCTTGTATACTTCATTGACTCTTCTCCTTGTCCTCTCTATTTTCCATGTAATACATGGTGTGAAACATCATTCCTGTCTATGCTTGTATACTTCATTGACTCTTCTCCTTGTCCTCTCTATTTTCCATGTAATACATGGTGTGAAACATCATTCCTGTCTATGCTTGTTTACTTCATTGACTCTTCCCCTTGTGCTCTCTATTTTCCATGTTATACATGGTGTGAAACATCATTCCTGTCTATGCTTATTTACTTCATTGACTCTTCTCCTTGTCCTCTCTATTTTCCATGTAATACATGGTGTGAAACATCATTCCTGTCTATGCTTGTTTACTTCATTGACTCTTCTCCTTGTCCTCTCTATTTTCCATGTAATACATGGTGTGAAACATCATTCCTGTCTATGCTTGTTTACTTCATTGACTCTTCCCCTTGTTGTCTCTATTTTCCATGTAATAAATGCCGTGAAACATCATTCCTGTCTATGCTTGTTTACTTCATTGACTCTTCCCCTTGTTCTCTCTATTTTCCATGTAATACATGGTGTGAAACATTATTCCTGTCTATGCTTGTTTACTTCATTGACTCTTCTCCTTGTCCTCTCTATTTTCCATGTAATACATGGTGTGAAACATCATTCCTGTCTATGCTTGTTTACTTCATTGACTCTTCTCCTTGTTCTCTCTATTTTCCATGTAATACATGGCGCGAAACATTATTCCTGTCTATGCTTACTTCATTGACTCTTCTCCTTGTCCTCTCTCTTTTCCATGTAATACATGGCGTGAAACATCATTCCTGTCTATGCTTGTTTACTTCATTGACTCTTCCCCTTGTGCTCTCTATTTTCCATGTAATACATGGCGTAAAACATCATTCCTGTCTATGCTTGTTTACTTCATTGACTCTTCCCCTTGTGCTCTCTATTTTCCATGTAATACATGGCGTAAAACATCATTCCTGTCTATGCTTGTATACTTCATTGACTCTTCTCCTTGTCCTCTCTATTTTCCATATAAAACATGGTGTGAAACATCATTCCTGTCTATGCTTGTTTACTTCATTGACTCTTCTCCTTGTCCTCTCTATTTTCCATATAAAACATGGTGTGAAACATCATTCCTGTCTATGCTTGTTTACTTCATTGACTCTTCCCCTTGTCCTCTCTATTTTCCATGTAAAACATGGCGTGAAACATCATTCCTATCTATGCTTGTTTACTTCATTGACTCTTCTCCTTGTCCTCTCTATTTTCCATGTAATACATGGTGTGAAACATCATTCCTGTCTATGCTTGTTTACTTCATTGACTCTTCTCCTTGTCCTCTCTATTTTCCATATAAAACATGGTGTGAAACATCATTCCTGTCTATGCTTGTTTACTTCATTGACTCTTCTCCTTGTCCTCTCTATTTTCCATATAAAACATGGTGTGAAACATCATTCCTGTCTATGCTTGTTTACTTCATTGACTCTTCTCCTTGTCCTCTCTATTTTCCATATAAAACATGGTGTGAAACATCATTCCTGTCTATGCTTGTTTACTTCATTGACTCTTCCCCTTGTGCTCTCTATTTTCCATGTAATACATGGTGTGAAACATCATTCCTGTCTATGCTTGTTTACTTCATTGACTCTTCCCCTTGTGCTCTCTATTTTCTATGTAATACATGGCGTAAAACATCATTCCTGTCTATGCTTGTTTACTTCATTGACTCTTCCCCTTGTTCTCTCTATTTTCTATGTAATACATGGTGTGAAACATCATTCCTGTCTATGCTTGTTTACTTCATTGACTCTTCCCCTTGTGCTCTCTATTTTCCATGTAATACATGGTGTGAAACATCATTCCTGTCTATGCTTGTTTACTTCATTGACTCTTCTCCTTGTCCTCTCTATTTTCCATATAAAACATGGTGTGAAACATCATTCCTGTCTATGCTTGTTTACTTCATTGACTCTTCCCCTTGTCCTCTCTATTTTCCATGTAATACATGGTGTGAAACATCATTCCTGTCTATGCTTGTATACTTCATTGACTCTTCCCCTTGTCCTCTCTATTTTCCATGTAATACATGGTGTGAAACATCATTCCTGTCTATGCTTGTATACTTCATTGACTCTTCCCCTTGTGCTCTCTATTTTCCATGTAATACATGGTGTGAAACATCATTCCTGTCTATGCTTGTATACTTCATTGACTCTTCCCCTTGTGCTCTCTATTTTCCATGTAATACATGGTGTGAAACATCATTCCTGTCTATGCTTGTATACTTCATTGACTCTTCCCCTTGTGCTCTCTATTTTCCATGTAATACATGGTGTGAAACATCATTCCTGTCTATGCTTGTTTACTTCATTGACTCTTCCCCTTGTGCTCTCTATTTTCCATGTAATACATGGCGTAAAACATCATTCCTGTCTATGCTTGTTTACTTCATTGACTCTTCCCCTTGTGCTCTCTATTTTCCATGTAATACATGGTGTGAAACATCATTCCTGTCTATGCTTGTATACTTCATTGACTCTTCCCCTTGTTCTCTCTATTTTCCATGTAATACATGGCGTGAAACATCATTCCTGTCTATGCTTGTTTACTTCATTGACTCTTCCCCTTGTTCTCTCTATTTTCTATGTAATACATGGCGTAAAACATCATTCCTGTCTATGCTTGTATACTTCATTGACTCTTCTCCTTGTCCTCTCTATTTTCCATGTAATACATGGCGTGAAACATCATTCCTGTCTATGCTTGTTTACTTCATTGACTCTTCCCCTTGTTCTCTCTATTTTCTATGTAATACATGGCGTAAAACATCATTCCTGTCTATGCTTGTTTACTTCATTGACTCTTCCCCTTGTTCTCTCTATTTTCCATGTAATACATGGTGTGAAACATCATTCCTGTCTATGCTTGTTTACTTCATTGACTCTTCCCCTTGTTCTCTCTATTTTCCATGTAATAGGCGTGAAACATCATTCCTGTCTATGCTTGTTTACTTCATTGACTCTTCCCCTTGTTCTCTCTATTTTCCATATAAAACATCATTCCTGTCTATGCTTGTTTACTTCATTGACTCTTCCCCTTGTCCTCTCTATTTTCCATGTAATACATGGTGTGAAACATCATTCCTGTCTATGCTTGTTTACTTCATTGACTCTTCTCCTTGTCCTCTCTATTTTCCATATAAAACATCATTCCTGTCTATGCTTGTTTACTTCATTGACTCTTCCCCTTGTCCTCTCTATTTTCCATGTAATACATGGTGTGAAACATCATTCCTGTCTATGCTTGTTTACTTCATTGACTCTTCTCCTTGTCCTCTCTATTTTCCATATAAAACATGGTGTGAAACATCATTCCTGTCTATGCTTGTTTACTTCATTGACTCTTCTCCTTGTCCTCTCTATTTTCCATATAAAACATGGTGTGAAACATCATTCCTGTCTATGCTTGTTTACTTCATTGACTCTTCTCCTTGTCCTCTCTATTTTCCATATAAAACATGGTGTGAAACATCATTCCTGTCTATGCTTGTTTACTTCATTGACTCTTCCCCTTGTCCTCTCTATTTTCCATGTAATACATGGTGTGAAACATCATTCCTGTCTATGCTTGTTTACTTCATTGACTCTTCCCCTTGTCCTCTCTATTTTCCATGTAATACATGGTGTGAAACATCATTCCTGTCTATGCTTGTTTACTTCATTGACTCTTCTCCTTGTCCTCTCTATTTTCCATGTAATACATGGTGTGAAACATCATTCCTGTCTATGCTTGTATACTTCATTGACTCTTCCCCTTGTGCTCTCTATTTTCCATGTAATACATGGTGTGAAACATCATTCCTGTCTATGCTTGTTTACTTCATTGACTCTTCCCCTTGTTCTCTCTATTTTCCATATAAGACATCATTCCTGTCTATGCTTGTTTACTTCATTGACTCTTCCCCTTGTCCTCTCTATTTTCCATATAAATTTTTTATTTATTTATTTATTTTATTAAAGTGTCATGAGTCATAAAACATATAAAATACAATTAAAACACCCCAGGCCGACAACGACCTATAGGACACTATAAATACATGTAAATCATTTATATAGATAATTTTCACGAAGTTTAAGCATTTGGCCACAGGCCTTTGCAACATATAGGTAAATACTGGTGTTGCTCATTAAGTTAAAAAATTTCAAATCTCTGTCCATGTGTAGAAAAGCAGGCAATCGACATACAATTTTTCTGAACAAGTTTGACCTTAAGTCGTTATAAAAAGCACAATCCAACATAAAATGCTTTTCATTTTCCACCGAGCCAGTGTCACATAAAACACACAGTCTTTCCTGTTCTGGTAGTCTTTCAAAGCGCCCAGTCTCTATACGTAATGGTGCCACACCGCATCTGACTGAAGCAAATGCCCGTCTACACGAAAGGGATATGTCAGACTTCAAATAAGCCTCGGGCTTTGTATCAAGTTTAAATGTGCGGTATGTCCTAAGCTTGTTTCTTTGGCCGGGTGGGCGTTGACTATCATTCCAAATGTTTCGGTGCCAATCTTGTGAAGCCTTTATACGTAGATGGGAAGCTATTTCGTCCTTCGAAGTGTCAAATGGTACTGCTAAATCCGAAGTTATTATTTTATTAAGGTTAAAAAACCAGTTATTATGTTTACGAGTAGTTCCAAAGGATAAATTCCAATTATACACGCGCCTTGTAAGCCTTGTCTCGTCGAGAGATAGACAACGGTCCCTATAACGAACTGCTGCCAGTATCTGCCATTCATATGGAGTAGTCCATCCCATTTCAGCACGGACGGCCAAGTTAGGCGCATATTTCCCCAGGCCAAGGAAAACGTGACACGCCCTGTGATATACTGCATTGATACAAGCGTGTTGCTTGAGACCCCAGATTTCAGAACCATATTCGAGCACTGGTCTAACTAGGCTGTTGTATAATTTAGTATAGCAATCGAGTGGCATCCCGCCCATGACTTTGTATTTAGCTATTAGTAAGCCCAGCGCTCGACTTCCAGCAGCCGCCATTGTTTTCGCCATGGCACTGTAATCAAGGTATTCATTGATCCATACGCCTAAGTATTTATACTGGGCTATAGTGTTTATAATAGAATTTCCAAACGTGAATATTGTGTTAGACCTGGCGATTCGTCGTGGTCGGTAATGAACAATATTTGTCTTTGTAATGTTAACGGTTAATCTCCAATTTTTGCACCAAATTTCGAGAGCGTCGAGCATATTCTGAAGTCCTGATTCGGTGTTTGATATCAGAGCTACATCGTCAGCGTACATTAGAATAGACACCTGTTCACCGTCCATGTCGACACCTTCGCCCAGGGCCTTGATGGTGTCCACAAGATCGTTAATAAAGACGTTAAACATTAAGCACGACGTTAAACACCCCTGTTTTAAACCAGAGTCTATTGTGAAGTAGTCAGTAAAGAAGCCGTTTATATTGACACAACTTCGAACATCCCGATATACTGCTTTGAGCGCGCCCATGTAGTTTCCGTCGATCTTAACTCCAAGTTTCGCTAACTTGTACCACAACAGATCCCTGTCGATACGGTCGTAGGCTTTCTGCGCGTCGACGTAGCATATATAGGTACTCCTACCCTCCTTTAGCCTATTTTCAATGATAGAAGTAAGTGTAAATATGTGATCAATACAACTTTTATTTTTCATGAAACCATTTTGTTCATCGTGTATAAGTCCATTTTCCTTGCAAAAATTTGCCAGTCTATCATTGAGAATCCAGCAGTATAGCTTACAGACAGGAGAAGTCAGGGTTAATCCTCTATAAGTTAATGGATCCCCGGGAACAGTACTTGATCCCTTCGGTATCGGAATTTTCACGCAGTTATTCCATGCTGTCGGAGTTAATCTGTTGCGAAAGCAGAAATTAAAAAGCGATGTGAAGAAACGTCAAGATTGGGTGTTAAGAAGTACTTCCATTGGGATACGGTCCAACCCAGCAGCTTTACCACGTTTGGCAAACCGCAATGCGGCCTCTACTTCTGCCTGGCTAATATCATAATCCAACTGTGAAGTGTCAATATTTAATCCCAAAATGTGTTCATTTTCCATCTGTTCACATTTCTCATTTCGGAAATTATCATTAAAATCACCATCAAAATTGTTATGCAGTGATTCGAAATCGTTTCTCCACTTTGATAGCACATTGTTCACGTTTGTTGAAATAGATCCATCGTCCCGCCTGATTTCCATTGGTATATTATCCTGGCGTTTAGTATTAACTCCCGTTTTACCAATGGTCGACCAAAATGACCTCGGATTAGAGTTCAAGGCACTACTGAGTTTGTGATGTTGTTTATAAACATACTGGCGCTTTGCCCTGCGTCTTGCCTTGTCAAATAGTTTCCGTTTAGACATAAACTCCTGTTTTAGTAACACTTTCTGCGCCGAGTTAGGTTTAGCGCGAATCCACTTTTTCTCAGCTTCAGAATAGTCTAACCATAACTCTCTCAGGTCATTAGTCCAAAACGGTTGGTTAGGTCGAAAATATCGATTTGCTTGAGTTGAACCTGGTTTGACAGTTCTAAAATCCAAACGCTCATTCATTTCTGTCATAAGCGTGTCACAGTATTTGGTATAAATGCCATCCAATGATTGCTGCGATCTATTGGTCGCTTCAATACCCTCCAACAATGAGTCAATCTGATCAATGATCTCATTGGACGAGAAGAAATCACGTGGTACATTGTTTGTGCTATATTTGCGGTAAGAGGCTCCGCCCTCTTCCAGCACGTGGTTTGATGCGGGTGCGACAGGGTCGCCATGACTAATTGTCCATGTGAGTAGTGAGTGGTCGGGTACAGTATGGTTTGGAATATAATCCAGTTGATTGCACAATTTTGTAGTAGTAGTCACTTCGAAGTAATGTAAATAAATCCAGCATGTCATGTGAAGTGATACAATAATCCACCACTGAGTGGCCTGTGGTAGATATAAAAGTATAATCATTATGTATTGTGTTCCGCCCATTCACAACACAGCAATTAGTATCCTGCAGAAAGTTAATAAGCTTATCGCCATACAAATTTGAGTGGATGTCAAAACATGCCATGAAAGATCACTCCACTATATGATTCGTTACTTCTTTCCAGCTTATGGTGCAGACGAAGTAGACCAGCAAGTGTTCAACTGGAGGTTGTTCTTCATATTCTGTAGCGAAGTGTTCGGATACAAGGACGGAAACGAATGGATTGTTGCCCATCATCTTTTCAAGAAACGTATGTCAAGTCAGCTATAGACTGAGTGAAAGGTGAGCTATCTATTCTTAAGGTGGGCATTATTGGACATTTTTTGACATCAGTGAGTGATACGTGTATGTATTAAGTCCAGTTTACTAAGGTACATTATTTATTCTGCTTGACCTTCTTTAAATTCTTCTTAACAATCTTGTTGTTTGTAGACTAAAATGAGTTACTATTATTAAGGCGGGCTTGGTTGTGTAACTTTCACATTTATGTATTTGCCTGATGCTAAGGATGTACAAGCTCCAATTTAATCAGCCAGAATATTCATTTACATGGCCTACCGTTATTACATACTTAACCACAGATACTAGAATTACGTGATTCCGCGTCGCTGCAGAAAAACGCAGAATTGGGGTTTTCAATTTTTTTTGCAAAAATTCATGGAAAATCAAACCATCTCATCTCATATTTATTTTGTTACTCACCTTGACACCTTAGACAGTCTTTTGTCATCGAAACTGGTGTTATGATGATTTCGAAGGGAAAATGTGAAATTTATTTAAAATTTTCAAACTCCCGGCTTTTGTACTTGAAAGATTACATCTAATATGTCACGAAATTTGAATTGCCTTAATTTTGTCATAGTTCAGATGAAGCCATTGCTTGCAGAATTTGGCGCAGAATTCGACTTTTCATGCAGGATTTCTGCACAGAATTTGCATTTTTCTCAGAAAACTAGGATCTAAATGGTAATATTGTGATTTGCCATTATGGTAAGGTAAAATATTTACAGTAGGCAATGTTCTTCACCTCGACATAATATATCTGGCATACAGTAACCTGTAAAAGTATTAGTTTCATTAAAAGATGTCAGGTTTGTACAAAATCATAATTTGCATTACTGAGTGTGGAATAACGGTCAGGTTGACTAAATTAATTTAGCCCTTGTAATATCTTCCAAGTGTAAATGACCTTGACGACTTAGAGCCAGCAATCATTACACCGAAATTGAAAAGCTGAATTTAAACGTACTTCAATGGTGGTCACCTTTATTATGAACTTGGTTTAAGCCCTTCTTTTTGCCCGATATTAATAGATAAATAGAGAAAACTATTTTTAAAGAGTTGTTAAATGTGATCATGATAAAAGTGCATCGCCATTTATTAGCATAGTTATGGTATTTATGATACCGTAAATTCTTTTAGCTTCCAATTTTTTCAGGGAAAAAATTTAAAACATTTGAAAATATTATTAGTTTGTGCAGGACACACTGTAAAATTCATTTTGACTCTCAAAGTAGTGTTAAATGATTTTGATAGACATCCTTGTTAGGGGGGAAATGTCCTGTTCATTATTTAAGAAATGAAGGTTACTTTGTCCTGCCAAGGTTATTTTAATAACATTAATAGAATGTTTGTGCTGCTATACTGGAGTGATTTAATGAGGTCATTTGGACCTTTCTAAAACAAGCTTATGTTTTAATAGATGCTATCAACGCTTTTATTATTTTTATTTATAATGTTGGCATTGTTCTTTTTATGTTTTTTATGCAATTAAGAGCAATGTCCTCTCAGGGGAGTGTCAGGAATATTGTCTGTTATTGGTCAATGCACGCACTAATCTTGTAATATAAAAATCTAGCATTCATTGAAGCATATCCTACAGGAGGATGGAACGTTGATGAAAATGTCATCCCGTTTTATATGTGGAGTTAGGTTGTTATTTTAAGAGAATAGTTATCATGGTTGTGAAGCGACTTGGAAGTTTTCATAAAATTGGGTACCAATTGTTAGTGCCACCTATATGGGAGGCACCCACATTGGTACTACCCTAGGGAGGCAGCTCTCTTTTATGTTTGTCTAGTGTATGTCAGTGCTCTCTGGCATGCAGTAGTAGCAAAGCCCAATGTGAAGGATGAATATAATTATATAATTTGGGCTTTAGAGGCTTTAGAAGCCAAACAGTCGGAAATGGCCTCTAGCGAGAATTCTTTGGTATATGCTTGACATATGTTCTATTACCTAACAATGCCATGTTAAATATGTTTGTCTGAATATGAATTTTATTTCTCTCTATTTCTCATTTAAATCACTGTTTACTTATTTTTCATGAAATCATTACAACTTCATACTATTTCCGTACTATTTCTGCTCCACTTTCATTCTGCTTTCAATTTCATCTCAAAACATAACCTTCGTTGCAATTTATTAATGGAAGGCGCCTTAACCCAGACACGTCACATTTCTGGCATATTTCCAAGTCCGAAGATATTCCCGCCTTTCCATATAGACTGCATAAAATATATTGATCGATCAGAGTGAGGCTCGGTACAAATTCCGCTATATCAGTGTTGGCAAGTTGCCAGTATTATAAATTATCTCACAGCCGTGTTGTTTTGACTTTTTGTAAGTCAAGTGTTGAAAACACAAACCAATCATATTGTAGTCAATCAGGATCACATGCTTTTCCTTGCAAATTTTGAAAAAGAAGTACGACTAAGTTGAATTAAACTGGTAAATTTTTAATGGTTTAAACGTGCCAGGATATTCATCACCTTAAATTACATCAACATTTTAAGATGAAGAGGTGTTCTTGTTTGAGGGGTCTTTGAACTTATCCGATATACCATATTTATCAATATAATTGTAAAACTGGGATTCAGATTTGTTTTAATAAGTCTGTTGAATGTCAATCTGTATAAATACCAATTTACGACAGAAATTTTGGAAGTTTGTCAAATGACTCGGAGCATTCATTGTTTTATTGCATTAAAATTCTATTTAAAAATGACATTGGCTTATGACATTGTAATTTAACTTATGCCAGATAATTTAGGCCTATTATAGGGGTTTGGGATCACAGACTGCCTTTTTTCAATTTGATGATTTCTTGTGACATCCCTGCTTTTTATTGCATTTCATGAATAGAAAATAAAGATATCCTTTAAACTATGAGTCGGAATATAAGGGTAGGAGGTAATAATGTTAACTTTTACAATTTGGCAAATTATAAGTACCCCTACCCTTCTTTTCTTTTCATAACTATCACTGGTATAGTTTTTTGTGAGAAAACACATTAATATTTGATGGTCACCATGGTAGCATAGGAACTTTGCCAGAGAATCCTTAAAGTAACTGGCACCCATTCAACATTTAATATTCATAGAGTCAAATAAAGTCAAGACAATGTCAAAGGCAAAATAGTAAAAGTAAAATAGAGGAGTCACCAAGGAGTAAACAGGGGAAAGTTATCTCTCTCTATTTTATTGAAATAACAGAAAATTGTTTTTTTTCATTCAAATTAAGATAGAAACTGATTGGAATAACAATGGTCGCCATTGATAATAAGAATGTCTTTCTAAAAATGTTTTCCTCATTTTTCGTTAACAATAAAATTTATGCTGTGACTTTGCAGTTTGAATTGTTATGTTTTTAATTAATCCCCATTTTATCACGTGATAAGTGCATATTGTCATCAACAATGTGTGCCATGTGTCTGTCTGTCACATGGACAGACTAATAGCTTGTCACTGGAAAGGGTCTCTTAGTTAATAATAAAGATGTTTCGCCCAACGGGTTATAGATAAAATGCATCCGCAATCACATCTTGTTTTAATTGAATTATTACACATAAATCTGGTGAAGGCATTACTTAAATACATTGAGCTAAAAATGTTGTAGGAAACCTCTGTAATATGCCAGTAAAAGTGTGAAGCTCACTGGAGTTTGGCTAATTGTATGAGAGTATTGTACCTGGTCACCCTGTATTCTTCAGTATAATATTCCATGTTAGAACAAGAACACCCAGTAAGTTATCCAAAGCCATCCGTATGACACCATAATGTTTGATGTATGTTGCTCTATTCCGCCCCAATCCCACTCTTATAGGGTACACAATTCATCCCTCACCCATCAACAGGGTACATAATTCATCCCCCACCCATCAACAGGGTACATAATTCATCCCCCACCCATCAACAGGGTACACAATTCATCCCTCACCCATCAACAGGGTACATAATTCATCCCCCACCCATCAACAGGGTACACATTCATCCCCCACCCATCAACAGGGTACATAATTCATCCCCCACCCATCAACAGGGTACATAATTCATCCCCCACCCATCAACAGGGTACATAATTCATCCCCCACTCATCAACAGAGTACATAATTCATCCCCCACCCATCAACAGGGTACACATTCATCCCCCACCCATCAACAGGATACATAATTCATCCCCCACCCATCAACAGGGTACATAATTCATCCCCCACCCATCAACAGGGTACATAATTCATCCCCCACATATCAACAGGGTACATAATTCATCCCCCACCCATCAACAGGGTACACATTCATCCCCCACCCATCAACAGGGTACATAATTCATCCCCCACCCATCAACAGGGTACATAATTCATCCCCCACTCATCAACAGAGTACATAATTCATCCCCCACCCATCAACAGGGTACACATTCATCCCCCACCCATCAACAGGGTACATAATTCATCCCCCACCCATCAACAGGGTACATAATTCATCCCCCACCCATCAACAGGGTACACAATTCATCCCCCACCCATCAACAGGGTACATAATTCATCCCCCACCCATCAACAGGGTACATAATTCATCCCCCACCCATCAACAGGGTACACAATTCATCCCCCACCCATTAACAGGGTATGCTGCATCTTATTAGGTTTTTAAAGTTAAGATTTTTTATTTGCATAATTTTTAAATAACACTATTTAACAGGAAGGCCTAATAAGGTTATCCATATGTTTTGATTTCAAAGTTAAGAGATTACAAAAATTACCACAATGCTAGATGTCTATGTATGTTGTCTTTTTTATCCCCTCCCCCCCTCCAACAGTGTCCATGCCTCATCCCAGTGACCCCCATGATTTTGCACATTAAAATCTGCCAACCATGATATTTTCTTATGGGAGAAAACACTTATTTTTATATAGGGTTCTTGCGGTCATATGATAAATTATATAAATTGACATAGTTATCAGCCAATTACAATTATCGCTTAATAGTAAACAACGCCAC